AGGCAGAGGGCGCCCCACCTCAAGCGAGAAGATGCCCCGTGGAGAGTGGGCCAGGCTGAGGCTCGGGGTCTCCCGGGAGGGAGGAGGAAGGGTGACCTGAAGTGGGGATTGCTGGCCTCGAAGGCAGACGTGTGGGTCAGAAGGTTTGGAGAGAAAACCAGCCGCTCTCCAAAGGGTCTGAAGCCGGGGATGCTAAGGTCACGGGAGGCGTGTCAGTTGGCCTTGGCAATGCCGAGGCTCTGCAGCCAGGACCTCTTGAGAGCTGACTGCCTTGTCCTGAACCAGCCAGCTGAAGGCCGGCCATGCCAGCCAGGGTCTGACCCATGCTGCTCACCGGCTCTGTCTCACCTGTGAGCAGGAGGGAGCCACTCGGCCCCTTTTGCTTTCCTGACTTCCTGTGGCATCAGGCTCCTGGGGACGTGGGGTGCTGAAGAGGCCCAGGCCCCTTCCTGCTCCCACTGGGGGGGAGCATTCCAGCCCCTAGGCGGTCTCCCCAGCCTGCTATTTACAGCAAGGCTAAGGGCGTGTCCAACGCCTGGCTGCCCAATATAACCCGAGGTCAGGTGACCAAGTGCTCTGTGCCCTGAAGGAGCCCCAAGGGTAGTGCAGGCCTCGGTCCAGCTGCCTGCCCTCGTCCCCTTGGCTTCCACGTTGAGAGGAAGGCAGGCTGGGCAGCCCCGTGGGGCTGCTGACAGCCCCGTTTCCAGCCTTTGTAGTTCAGGATCCCCCCTCCTGCGAGGACATGCTTCCTGCCTGTAAGCCGGGAAGCCTCGGCAGTGCTTGGCTGCGAGCTCTTCAGCTGCTCCGAGGTTTCAGAGAAGCACCCACTGGCCCCAGGAAGGGAGCGCGGCCCTCGGGCTCGCCTGCAGCCCAGGCTGCGTGCACGATCCTTCCAGAGGCTCCGAGGGTGTTCCACAGCTGAGATGGGAACAGAGACTGAGGAGCGGGGCAGAGAGGGAGCTGGCAGAGCTGCGGGGCTGGAGACATTCCTTGATGTGGCATCTCCTGACATGGCACCTGGCAGAGGGGCAGACGGCTCCCAGGGTTCTGGTACTTCTGTCGCTTCCTTGCAGAGCCAGTGCTTGCCGCGAGGAGAGAGAGGCGTGCTGTGCCTGATAAGTGCTGCTGATGGCTGGGGGGGGCCCAGAGGGGTGCTTATTCCGCCGTCATGGGTTTCGGCCACCCGTGTCCTGTGGTACATTATCTTGCTGGAGGGACAGCAGGAATGGGGCGTAACCAGCCAGTGTGGGCCCACTGCATGCTGGACTGAGTGACCCCTTCCTGCATCGGTGCCGACTTGACTGCTCACCACGCCCCTCACCTAGCCTGTAGTGCTCTGGAGGTGGGGGGCAGGGGCCACTTTGTGGCCACTGCTCATTACAAACAGCAGGGAAAGGCTGAGGCCGCCCTCTATGTCCTTACAGTTCAGAGAACGCTTTCAGGGGACCCTAGAGCAGCCCTCTGCCCTGTGGCATGCAGGGACCGTGGCTTATAGACACACACCAGCAGGTGCCGTGGTGGCTCCCACTGTCCCTCGCTGGCCTGACCCACCTCATCTCAGCCCTGCTTCTGTCCCCAGTCTGCCATGTGGTTCCCTTTGCTGCAGGAGGTCTGCCATCAGCCACCAGCCCAGGCCAAACCCCACGGCCTCTGCCGAGCTAAGGCATTTGGATGATCCTTGGTTTCCATTCTTCCCTGGGGTGTGTGTTTTTTTCTAATTGTTATTAGATACTGGCTTGTTTGGGGAAAACATCTGGGGGGTGCAGCAGAGGGCGGCTGACGCTAACATGGCAACAGGGACAAGGAGGCGGTGGCGGCTGCCGGTGCCCAGCTGATGGGTCTGCTCGCAGTGCTGCCGGAGGGTAGCCAGGGCCAGCCCCTCTGTGGTGGCAGGATCTGCAGATCCCGGGTGCTGGGGCAGGTACCTCCCCAGCCTCATTGCCACTGTCACCTTATCCATGTGGCCTTATGGTTTAGAGATACCCTCCCATTTCGGGGCAGAGTTTGGGGTTCACTGCCAGCAGGGAGATGTTAGGGCTCACGGGACCTAAGTGGACAGACCAAGCTGAGAGCGGCCTGGGGGAGTGGCTGGGCCCACCGCAGTGCTCGGCTGCCCCTGCCTCTGTAGGCCCTGTGCATCCTAAGGGGTGCAGGCTGGCTGGGCAGACCCTCTGAGGGCCGGCGAGGAGGACAGCAGGGGACAGGCAGAGCCCATCTGGGCTGCCTCGACGCCCGGGAAGGGCAGCGTGGTGCGCAGGCAGTGGCTGGCTGCAACAGCAGAGCCCCGCTCTGAAGCCCCCCGAGTGGAGACGGCTTAGCTGAAGCTGCAGAGTAAGCAGACGGCCGGTCTGCATGAGCACAGGGGAGCCCCCGGGAGCGGTCTGTCCCGTTGAAAAAACGGGAGGCTTCCTGGCTCCCTGTCCAGAGACCACGACTAGGTGCCCCCAGGTCCCTCCTGCATGCTCATGCCAGGTGGTGCCCAGTCACCTGTGGCAGGCTCCTCCGCTGCTCCCTGCCCTTCGTCTGACCCAGTGCCACTCACCTGGAGCTCAGGGACGGGGGTGGGGGCCTTGCCCAGGAGCGTCCTGCGCACCTGCCCCCACGTGCCTCCTTGGCCCGGGCCGTCACCTCCTCCTCTTACTTCCCCTGTGGACCTGCTGCTGCGCCCCTCGGAGACTCGCCCGCTGACAGCCAGCTGCGCTGTCCCTGGCTTGGCTTTCTCCTTGTTGGTTGTCTTGGAGTTCCAAGTGTCAAATTGCACTGGCTGGCGGCTGCACCCCTAGCACGGGGCGGGCGATTCCACTTCATAGAGGGCCGCTGCTGGCCTCTTCAATGGGCGCGCTCTGTCCCTCCCCTCTCCCTCTCCCCGCCCTCTGGCCCGCCCGCCAGACAGATAACCAGGGAGGCTCTATCAGAGGGTGTGGAGGGAGGGAGGGGCCGAGCAGCAGCCCTGGCTCTCCCCCCCCAGCCCCCGTGGAGATCTCCCTGCTGGGCCTGTGGCTCACCACCACCCCACCCTTTCTCTCAGGCCACTCCCCACCGGGAGCCTCCCTGTGGCCTCTGCTGGGAAGGGAAGTCAGCGGTGGAGGAGCTGCTGGACCACCCAGGCCGAGCCCTCCAGAGGCCTTTCTGCCCCCTTGGTACCCGAAGGCGTCTCGGGGAGGAACTTGGGCGTCCTGCTGGCCCTGGGAGCGGCTTCCCGATACTCAGAGCCCTGGGAGGAGAGGCAGGAAGCCGCTGGCTCTCTGTGCCAAAGCCCAGCGTCTGCATGCTGGCTCTCGGGGGTGCCCAGCTCCTAGTGGCAGGGGCCCTTGACGTTTGACAGGTTGTGCCACCCAGCAGACCAGGCCACGCCTGGAGCAGGGAGAGGCCTGACCCTAGCCTCACCATCAATAGAACCCTTTGACTCTGAGCACAAAACCCCAGTGAGTCAGGGCAGGCTGGGGGGGCGAGGGGACACAGCCAGCCTGCACCCCGCCCTGGGATGCCACACAAAACCCCAGTGACTCGGCAGGCTGCGGGGTCGGGGGGGGGGGCAGCCAGCCTGCACACCCCCCCCATACTGGGATGCTGCAGCCTCCCAGAGCAGGACAGACAGCCTTTGTGCAGGAGACCCACCTGGAGATCTGGGGGCTTGGAGGGTGCAGACTCGGCCCCTGCACCCACAGAACCAGGCAATTTGGGAGAGACCCTGAATGGGGCTGAACTGGTGGGAAGAGCCCCCTCTGGTGGCCGCAACCTCCACTGCAGTCTGAAACCCTAGTCTGGCCCCAGAGCTGCCTTCTCTCCTCTTGGCTACAGAACATGAATGGACCCTCCCCCAGGGGGGTTAACAGTCAGCTCTTGACCCCTGCCCTGGGGTCCTGGTCCCAAAAGCGCTGCTCACAGCCCTCGGCAGGCTCACTCTGACAGGAGTTCTTTCGGAGCCTTGGGCGCCAGCTATTTTTGTCCCTGGGCTGTGGTGCCCAGTGGCCCTGTCTGCTCTGGTATCTCCTCACAGGCCCCCCACCTCGTGCTACATTCCAGACAGCAGAAGTGGTTACAGTCAGGGCCCTAACAAAGCAAGTGTCCCCTCCTGGGCCTCTGGCCCGTCCCAGGATTGACTACTGCCCCCAGCATGGAGATTCGTAGGAGTGGCGGAGCCTTCTGGGGCTGCTCCCAGCTCCCAGCTGTCACCCCACGAGGGCTGTGATGGGGTCTGGCAGGGGTGGGGAGATGAGGAGACTCCAGCCAGCCCCACCAGTGGCAATTGGCAGGATCACCTGCGTACCTGTGAGGAGAGGCTTAGAGCAATGAGGAGACCACCAAGAAAGCAGCCCAGACTGCTGGGGGCGGGGGGCACGTCCTGCTGCCCTTCCCTCTTCTGCCCCCAGACCAGGGTCAGGAGTAGTGGCAGGCCCCGTGCAATGTGCTTAGTGGCCTCAGGAGGTTGGCACTCATCTGGCTTGTGTTACAGACAAGACCACATCTTCCCCAAGGACACACCTTTAGCTGGCCCAGAGTGCCGCCATCCAAGGATGGAGGCGGGGAGCCCCACAGGCCAGAGGGGTAAGTCCTGGAGAAGCAGGACAGAGCCGCATCCCAGCCTGGCCCTAGATGTCCCCATGAGGTACATGACCTCACCATGGTCATGTGTGAGATGGACAGGATCAAAACTGCCTTGTGAGGCTCATGGGAGGTGAGACAGGTGAAGTGCTGGGCCTCTCGGGTGGTTATGTGGTGTGGATATGGGGTTGGAGCAAAGACTGCTGGCCCAGGCCCCTCACCCCTTACGTCTGCTGGGCCACCACCCCAGGTGCCGCCACGCAGCCATTGCCAAGTACTTCGGTGATGCGCCCCCCACCTGCACCAGAGGCTGTGACCACTGCCAGGACCCCGCAGCCGTGCGGAGGCTGCTGGATGCCGTGGAACGCAGCAGCAGCTGGAGCAAGACCTGCATTGGGCCCTCCCAGGGGAATGGCTTTGACCCTGAGCTGTATGAGGGAGGCCGCAGGGGCTATGGAGGCTTTAGCAGGTGAGAGGCCGTGAATGCAGGGCCCCGGCCCACTGGGAAGAGCCTGTCCAAGGGCAGACCAGAGGCAACCTAAAGCTGGCATCCACCCCTGGCCCTGTGAGCCACACTGGGGCCTGGACCTCGGTGTGGCCCTGAGCACCATAGGGTGGACCGCAGGAGAGTGCCAGGGACTGTGTCATCTGCCGGAGGCTGGCTGAATGGGGCAGAGACAAGGCAGGCCTGGCTGTTCACACCCAGCCTGCTCCCAGGTATGACGAGGGCTCTGGAGGCAGCGGGGACGAGGGCCGAGATGAGGCCCACAAGAGGGAATGGAGTCTCTTCTACCGGAAGCAGATGATGCTGCGAAAGGTGAAGGGGGCGGGGCTTGGGAGGGCACTGGGCCCGTGTTTGAGCCCTGAGCCGCTGGCAGGCGGGGTGCCTGCAGACAGAGGAGTGCCTGCTGGTAGTGGGGTCCTGGCTGGCCCCTTCTGCCCACATCCTTAGCCCCATGCCTGGCCTGGGAGCTGTCCTTCAGGGGCCTCACAGGTCCTTCATGACTTCCAGGGCAAAGACCCCCAGGTAGAAGAATTCATACCCCCAGGTGAGTGCAGCGATGCCCAGGGGCTTGTGGGCTGTGGGGCAGGAGTGAGAGGCACACCTACCCTTTCTCCTCTCAGATGACAACTGTGCTCTGAAGCCTACCCTTTTCTCTCCGCAGATGACGACTGTCCCCTGAAAGAGGCTTCTAGCAGGAAGATCCCCAAGCTCACTGTGAAGGTACGGGGTGGGCAGTTCCTCCTCGCCCCCAGGATGCCCCCTAGCCTCGAGGCTCCTGTGAGCCGTGCTCACTGTCTCCGTGCAGGCCCGAGAGCACTGCCTGCGGCTCCTGGAGGAGGCGCTGAATGGTAACTGTCAGGCTGCAGGCACCACAGAGAGGTGAGTGTCGCAGGTCGCAGGCAGGAGCTGGGGACGTGGCCAGGCACCCCGGGCTGAGGAGGTCTCTCCAACGCTTAGCCCTTTGGAGACCTCACACCTCTCCCCTGGCATGTGAGCCATCCTACTTCCAGGGGTGTGAGTCCTCAGAGCCCCACTAGGGGGCAGGCTTGGCCGCGACAGCAGTGGCCAACGGCTGCTGAAGAGATCAGAGCTCTTCACAGAAACAGGTGGGAATCCCTGTGCCCACAGACACTCCCACCAGGCCCTGATGCTGCCCCCATGGTCCCCAGGGAGAATCCAGCAGGAGCTCAACAAGGCTCACTCCTTCCCACAGAGCTGACCTCCGGGCCAAGGCTGTGGAGCTGGAACATGGAATATTCCAGAACACCAGGGTGGCCAACCTGTACAAGGCTAGCGTCCTGAAGAAGGTGGGCATAGGGCTGGAGCGGGAGGGGGCGCTCCCCAGGGCCCAGGCTGCCTCCAGCGCCCCCGGCTCCCCGTCTGTGGGTTAGTTAGGGGGTGGAGCCTGATCTCCCTCCCTTGCTAGCTGGAGGGAGTTCTACCCAACCAGAGCTTGTCCCGTTTCCAGTTGCCTGGAGCCACTGGCCACAGAAACCTACCTGGGGGAGGGCTGGATGGGGGCTTCGGGGAGGAGCTAGCACGCACCCCCCCCCCCCATCGTCTGTCCACACCCTAGGTGGCTGAGATCCATAGAGCCTCCAAGGATGGCCAGCTTTACTCCAGCATGGGAGGTGGGGCCAAGAGCTGCAGTGCCCAGGCTGGGGCCCCAGAGCCCAGTGAATACGACACCCTGCCGGCCTCCCAGGTGTACTCGGTGAGTGATGACCGGGTTCCCTCTGTGCTCGGGGAAGGCACAGCCTCTCACCCTCCCCCGGCCTCACAGCTCAGGCCCTTCCAGCGTCCCTGCTCTGCTGGCATCACCTGCACTACCGTGCATCCTCCTGACTCCCGAGGGGTGGCCTGCCCTACTTGCCCCTCCCCTGCCCTGAGAGCCCAGCCCAGTGGGGCCATGGCTGGACCAGCCAGTGTGTGGGCCCTGGGGGCCTGCTGGTCAAACCCTCTCTCCTCCTCACAGCCCAAACCCAAGCGAGTGGGAGCTGGCTTCCCTAAAGGCTCCTGCCTGTTCCAGACAGCCACCGAGCTGCTGGAGAGGACTCGGGCCGAGGTGCCAGTCCCCCAGCCTGTGCAGGGAGGCCAGCAGGAGCCCCCTGGGCAGCCGCACGGCCTCCTGGATGAGCCCAGAGGAGCAGCCCCTGCAGTGAGTGCTGAGAGGGGGCGGCCCTCCCCCGAGAAGAAGGCCAAAGACTCCTCCAAGGGCAGCCCCTTGGCCAAAGCCCCCGCCAAGAGGAAGCAGCAGCTCCTGGCCGAGGCAGCCCACAAGGACTCTCAGAACATCATGCGCTTCTGCAAGAGGGTGGAGAGCCCACCAGGCCCCCCACCAGCCCCAGAGAAGTGCCCAGGGGACGAGGGAGCCCCTGGGCATTTGGCCACCCCTCCGCACACTGAGGAGCCTGCCAGCGAGGGGCCAAGGTGAGGGCGGTGGGTGTACTGGACCCTGAGCCGCACTCTAGCCTGGCTACCTGGGTTCCCCAGAGCTCAGGGCTTGTTCCAAGATGGCCAGCCTGGGACGCGGGGCACCTGGAACCCTGATGCCTACTGTCCCCTGCCCAGGGCCCACCGAAATGGTGACCAGGTGCCCCCCGGAGCCCTGCCCACACCTGCACAGGAGACCCAGAGGGGCAAGCGGCCCAGACCCCAGCAGGTACTACAGGCCGGGTGTCGTGCAGGGAGGGAGGCAGTGTGGATGTGCTCTGCTCTAGCCTGTGGATCGGGAAGAATCATGTCTGTCCCAGTGACAGGCAGCTGGGGGACAGGCTATGGGGAGCCTGTGGGTGCAGAGCCCAGTCTTCTGGTGGAAGGGCGGGACCGGTGAAAAGGAACCCTGGAGTGACCCGCCACCGTCGCCCTGCCCAGGAGGACCCAGAGGGCCTGGCTCGGAAGAGGCCTTGCTCCTCAGCCCAGCCCTGTGTCACTGCTGAGGCCGTGGGCAGCGTCTCAGCCCAGGACCTGGATGCCTTTCCCTCCACGGCCCGTGGCCCCTGCCAGCTCCCAGTGCCCCGCGTCCCCCTGAAGGAGGCCGCCAGCATTGTGGTCAAGTGTCTCACTCCTCTCTACAAGCAGGGCAAGTTTGCGTCCAAGGTAGGAGCCTTGGCCTGGGAGCCTGGGGACAGGGTGGGAGCAGGGCGGGTGTGGGAGCATGGGGCCAGCCCCAGGCCTGGCTGGGCTCGGCCTCACCCTTGGCTGCTACTGTGGCTGCCGTCCTCACCCTCTGTCTTCCCAGGAGCTGTTCAAAGGCTTCGCCCGCCACCTTTCACACCTGCTGACCCAGGAGGCCTCCCCAGGAGGGAGCTGTGAGTACCTGCATGCCTGCATCACCAGGGTGGGGGGCAGGGGGGATTCTTGGTGGTGAGGAACAGCTCCTGAAGGAGAGGTTAGCTGGCTGAGGTAGGGGTCGGGGGGCTCTGCAGGGGGAGAGCAGCTCTCACCCCCACCCCCCATCCAGTGACAGAAGAGGCCCACCACCTCATCAGGCAGTTCTTCCACGGCCGGACCCGGTGTGAAAGTGATGCTGACTGGCAGGACCTGCGGGGCCCTCAGCGATGACTGCCGGGCGCCAGGGGCCAGCACACCATCCTCAGACTCTACCACAGGGCCAGCCTTGGCCTCCCTCGGGAAGGGTGGGCAGGCCTGCTGCCTCCAGGGCTGGCACCTTTTCTCAGGATCCTTCCAGCCACTTCTTACCTTGGGGACAGCCCCAAGCACCTCCCACCCCCAGCCTGGGGACCAGGAGCCAGCCCACCTTTGTCTCTGCTTGGGAGGCCTGAGCTCCTCTCCCCCAGAGTCTCCTACCCCTTATGGCTGGGCTTCCCAGGTCAGAGCCCCAGGTAAGAAGGGGGCTGAGGGACTGCTGCCAAGGCAAGAGGAAGAAGGATGAGCCTTGATGCCTTTTGCACTTAGGTTTTAAGCCATGAGTAAAGCCCACCAGCCAAAGTATGGGGGTCTGTTCCAGTGGGGCCCCTGCTGCTCTCAGGCCCCCCTCACTACTCCCTCCCTTGAGATGTTTGCTTACAGCCTTGTCCCAGGGTACAGAGCTCATGGGCAGGGGGCAGCCTGTCCCTGCCCCACCACAAGCCAGGAAGGCCTGGCCGGATTGAGATGTTTATAACAGGAATAAAGCCATCTGCACTGATGTGTGTGCACGCTGCTCTGTGTGTACTGACAGACATGTACTCAGCCCCACCTGCACTGATACATGCATAAAGCCTTGTGTGTACCGACAGGCATGCACATAGGCCCCATCTGTACTGACTTCGTGTACATTCGGCCTTGGCCACACTGACATGCATGCACATAGCCTTGTGTGTACTCACAGGCATGCATGTGGCCCCATCCGCACTGATGCGTGTGCACACAGTCCTGTCTGCACTGATGCGTGTAACCTTGGCCCCGTCTGCCCTGACGTGTGCACGTGTCCCCATCCACACTGATGCGTGTGCGTGCGGCCCTGTCCTCTGAAGAGCTTTACTTCTAGCAGCTGCTGCTCCTGGGCCTGGTGGGTCCGTCCGTCTCCCCCCCCCCCCCCCCCCCAGTAGTGGAAACATACACACCAAGACATTTACCCAACATAACAACTTCCACATTTACAGCTCAGGGACACTGATGACATTTTTCGTGTTGTGCCACCATTACTGCTGTCCCTTTCTGAAATACTCCACCACTGTTAGCATCAGCTTGGTGTCAGGCCTGGGCTCTGGCTGCCGTTGAGCCAGGGTGAGGGCTGGGCCGGGTGGTCAAGCTGCTGCAGCCCGGGCCAGGCCAGCCCATCCCACCTCGGAGGGAGTCTGGCTGCTCTTCCCCAGCTGATGCCACCATAGTGGCTCCTGCCTCCTGGCCACCACGGGGGCCAACCGGGCTGCACAGGTTCCAGAACAGAGGCAGGCGGTGAAGTCCAAACCAGAATAGCCCGACAGCACCAGGGGAGAACATCCAGGTGAGAGCTGCGGGGGGTGGCCCCGGCTCGGCGCAGCCCCTTGCCCGCTCGCCCACTCCAGCACGCGGCGCCTGCTCTAGAACGCTGCGCTGGTGCTCCTGTCCAGCAGGAAGGCGATGGTCTGCTGTAGCTCCTGGGCCTGCGGGCAGAGGGTGTCACGGCTGGCACCCCCAGCTCCCCACCTCTACCCCATCTGCACCCCTAAGCCAGGAGGTCCCAGATACCCACTGACGGCAGGGCTGGCTCAGGGCCCCCAGTCCACCACTCGGCCACGCAGGCCACTCTCACCTGTGGCAGCTCAAACCAGATGGTGCGGGGACTGTCAGCTGAGCCATAGTTGAGCTCCAGGCCAGGGGCCCCACCTTCCTCCAGGGGGCTCAGCAGGTGGAGGCGATGCATGTCACTCAAGGGGATGGAGCAGCACGGTGTCTGTGGGCGTGGGGTGAGGGGTCACCGTGGGGCCTTGGAGGGGCAGGGGCCCAGGCCAGTGCTGGAGTGGAGCCATGCCCACCTGAGAGTTGGGATCCATGAGGATGATGTGCTGGCGGCTGAGCCCTAGGAGGCTGGGCCTGGGCAGGGCCGGCTCACTCACGCGCAGCACCACATACACAGTGTAGCCAAAGAGGGGCAGCTGGCTCACGGCCTCTGGGGATGAGAGGGCCGGGTTCCAGCCTCAGGGGCTTGGCAAGAGCCTGCTCAGTGTGCCCCCAGGTGTGTGAGGGGGCAGGGCTGGAGTAGGTGCTTCTGCAGCCCTCCCCCTCACGCCCCTCCTGGGCCTCTGGCCACAGCTCCCCGCCTGCACCCCAGACCCACCGAGGAAGCTGATCTGCGCGTCCTGCGGGCCGTGATGCTGCAGCTGCCTGAGCGCCTGCGTCACCAGGCCCTTTACGGCAGCCACGTTCACCTGCGCCCTGAGCGGCTTCGGCACATACAGCAGCAGGTCTTGCCTAGGACACGGGCTAGGTCAGTCTGGCCCATGACCACTGACCTGGCGCAAGGCAGGGCATGCGGCTCCTGTGGGTGAGGTGGGGGGGCCACACCAAGAATGCGTCCTGGCCTGCCCCTCAGGGCGTGGGGCAGGTGGGAAGGACAGGTAAGCCCTGTGCTGCTCCAAGCCGGACAGGGAGGGGGAAGCGGGGCAGCAGGAGGAGGAGGCGCTGCCGAGGTGGGAGTCGGCTTCTGGGGGGCAGGTGCACACTCACTCTGAGGGCGGCTCCTTGGCCGCCTTACTGAGGTGCTGCAGGGCTGCCAGGTGGCCAAGCTGGGCGTCTGCCTGGGCGCCCACCAGCAGCTTCCCCTGGAGGTAGTCCCGCAGCACCTACGGGGAAGCAGCGAGTGGACCACGTGTCGTCCACAGGAGCGAGGCTCAGAGGGCCCCTTGGTGGGCGTGTGGCCCAGCAACTGCCCAACACCCAGAGCAAGTGGCTGACCTGGCTGTAGTGGGTGCCAATGTAGGTGGGATGGTCGAAGTGCAGTGGGGTCTCCCAGCCCAGCCGCCGGCTGTGCAGACTCAGGTCCTGACTCACCAGCACATTGTTGAGGTACTCATGGGGCCACAGGGGCCGTACCAGGTCACCTGCCACCGGGGGCCCACAGTCCACAGCCCGCCCTGCCACCTCACAACCAACTGCTGCCTGTACCCGCCACCCAGCCCCGCCCCATCCAAGCCACCGGAAGCCACTACGTGTGTCCTGTCCTGCCACCCCCAGCACAAACAATGAGTTACTCATGGGCGGCAGCGGCACCGCCCTAGCCCACTGGCCACCCTCCAGGCGTGGTTGCTGACCTTCCCCTTTGATGAGGAAGAGAGCGAACTCCTGCACTTCCTGGGGGTCCGTGATGCTCATACGCCCACACATCTCCTCCAGCACCTCTGTGGCCACCTGGCGTGGACAGCCCGTGATGGAGGCAAGGGCTCTCCCTGCCTGCCCCTCTTCCCCCCGCTTAGTGCCCTGTGCTTACTGTGAACATCCGGATGTTGGTCTTGTAGTCCACGCCCCCCGGCAGGTGAATGAGAAGCATGCGGGCCACCTGGCCTTTCTGCCGAGGCAGGGTGTGGGTCAGAGTCTCCCAGAGTTCTCCCAGGGGGTCCCAGAATCCCCTCTGCCTGTATCCCCCGTACCAAGAAGGCCTGCATTTCACCCGGTGAGGGCAGCCGTTGGCGCCCCCCATATTTGACTGTTCTCTGGAGGTGCTCTTGGCTGCTGTGGGCCAGGTCTGCAGAGAGGAGCCAGGCAGGGGTCAGAGCACCCAAAGGCCCTGGCCCACCGAGCACCCATCTTCCCACCATCTCGGCCACAGGCACCTTGGCTCCGGCCTGCATTCTGCAGGAACTTGGTGACATAGGGCATCAGGGTGGTGGATGGCGAGAAGCAGCCAGTGAGGAGGCTCAGGAAGTCCCAGCCTCGAGCACAGTGTTCCCTGCGGGCAGGACCGGGCATCAGGAGGCCAGGTCCAGCACCCTGTTCCCCCAGGGGCCTGAGCCCGCCCCCACAGGCACCCCTACTCACAGCCGGGGATGTCCTGTGACCTGTTTGATGACCTGGCAGTAAATCTCGTCCCTGAGTTTCTCCTCCTGGCTCAGCTGCGGGGACATAAAGGGCAGGGGGGCAGGGGCAGGCCTCAGCTACAGAGCTAGGGTGCAGTGCAGAGGGGAGGGAAGGGATCCAAAATTGGGGGGACAAGCTGGGGCGGTGACACCAGCTGAGGTGACTAATAGTGTGCTCTCAGTAGCATCTGCGTGGCTCGTCACCTCGCCCTAAATCTCTGTCCACCTAGCTCCTGGGCTTTGCTTCCCCCCGCCCTCCCATCTGTCCTTGACAGCCTTACGGGCTCGAGGAAGGCTCCACCCTCTGAGTGTTGATGCCCTTGTAGTGCTCTATCCACATACACTCCACCTGTAGGTGATTCCCAGGGCCTCCCCCTCCTCTGGGAGGTCTGGATTTCAGACTCAACACCCAGACCGGCTACTCCTTCCTCTTCTCGTGGAAGGTGATGGCTCAGGCCGACACCTCGGAGTCAGCCTTGGTACCCCACCACAGCACCTCCCACTTCTCCTCTCTGCTTCTTGGCCCAGGCCAGCCCCATGTCTCATCTGGGCTCACACCCCATGATCTCCACAATAGCCAGGCAGTTCTGCAGATCCACCCTGAACCTGTCTGCAAAGCCCGTCAGTGCTTTCCCATTTCTCAAAAGCAAAGGCCCCAAGGCCTGCCCTGTCCCTTCCCCCATGCTCACTCCTATCAGGATGAGTGCACTGGCCCTCATCCCTGCCCCACGCTCCACCCGATGGCCACAGGGCTCCCCTTCTCTCTCCTTTCTTATCTCTGCTCCAATGTCACGTGACCACGAAGCCCAGAAAGGCCAGCTAACTTGTCCAAGATCACACAGGAGCTATGATTAGAATACTATGTCAAACCACAGCCCCCTTCCCTGCTTTATGAGTCCCCCACCCCTAAAACAAACAAAAAAAAACTCACTGCCATTGAGTTGATTCCAACTCATAGTGACCCTCCTTGGGTTTCCGAGGTGGTATCTCTAAGGAAGTAAATTACTCTGTCTTCCTCCTGAGAAGCGGCTGGTGGGTTTGAACCACCAGCCTTCTGGTTAGCTGTCAAATAAATGCCTTAGGCACTATGCCACCAGAGCTCCTTTATTATCATGGTGCAGCAAATCCAGTAAATAACGTCAGTTATGACATCACTGCTGCTGCCTGACCCCTCCCACTGGAGAAACAGCTCTGCTCCGGTCACAGCCACGCCCCTGCACGAGCAGGTACTCAGGAAGTACAGGAAGGGTGATGGCAGGCAGGGAGGACGGAGTCACTCCGGGGTAGTGGGCCCAGCTCCTGCACACACGGCACCTTCAGCGCACACACCCACTCACCTTCAGCAGCTGGTAAAGCAGCTCCACCTGGTCCTTGCCCCGGGGCTTAGCCTGGTCCCCCATGAACTGCATCAGAGCTGCCGGCAAGAGAGGAAGTGGGGGGAGCTGGCCTCCACCCAGCACCCACTCCTGCTGCCAGCACTACTCTGAACCAGGGCTTCCATCCAGTTCATTCCGGTTCCACCCCCTGCTCAGAGTTCGCCTTTCCACTCCAAACCAACAAAAAACCAAATTCCACTGCCAATGACTCGATTCTGACTCATAGCCACCCCACAGGGTTTCCAAGGCTGGAAATCTTTGTAGAAGCAGACTGCCTCATCTTCCTCCCGTGGGGCAGCTGGTGGGTTCGAACTGCTGCCACTCCAGGTAACTGAATCGGAATCTACGTTTTCACCAGATCCCCAGGTGATTCTGTTATTCACCAAGAATCTTGTTCAAAGTAGGCTCTGACTCAGTATCCCGGAGTGGGAATGCAAATTCTCAGCAGAGGGTCGAAACAGAATGAACCAATTTAAAGCCCAGCTCAAAACACTCCTGAGCTAGACGGGGCACCCACCACCAGCTTTACCACCAGGGAAATGAGGCTCAGGGGTAGAGGGGCACCCACAGCCACACAACACGTGGTGCTGCCCTTCCAGTCCCAGACGCCACCACAGCCCTTGGTGGAGAAGTGATTGAGGGCCGGAGCCATCCCCAGCTTCCCTGAGTAGGCAGAGGCGGCGGGTCCCAAGGACAGGAGGGGCTGCAGGGCATGCACGTAGCCCCAGACGTCAGGGCCTAGGATGACACTCACCCTGGAAGCTTTCCACGGCCTGCGTGTTGGTGTCCTCATCACTGAGACTGATAAGCGATTCCCGGATGGGATCCTGCAGCCACAGAGGTGGGGCTGAGGGGGTCCATGTGGGGCTTAGGGGTACCACAGGCCAGCTCTTCCCCACTGCTCCCCCTCACCTTGGTGAACTGCACCAGGCTGTCCATGACCTTTCCCTTGGCACCTTCACCTGCTGGGTCAAGCCTGTGGAGACAGAGGGTCGACGCCCCTGCTTGTCCAACTCTCCTGCCCTCAGTCTGGGCTGTATAAGGGACAGTGGTGGTAGCAGTGGCCTGGTGGCTCTGAGCTGGGAAGCTCATCTCCAAAGGACCAAGGACAGACAGGCATAAGGGGGGCAGAGCACTCACAAGATGCGGGGCTTCCTGAAGAAGCGCTCAGCAAACTCCTGCATGGTATAGCTGTGGGAGTTGGCGGGCAGAGAGACGTAGGTCGCCGAGGAGGGCGGGCTGGTGGCCTCTGAGCCCTCGCTGTGAGGCCTGCTCCAGGGCTGGGCAGGGCGCTGGGAGCACAGGAGACCTGCTGCCACCCTCGTGCCCCTGGCTTGTCGCAGAGGCCCTGCCCACCCCTCCCCAGCCAGACCCGAGAAGAGTAGGCAGGACAGCCAAGTGAGCAAACACAGGGAGACAAGACAGTCAAGGGCAGTTTATTGAGCATCTTCTGTGATGGCAATAGGTAAGTGCCCCTCAGAGCAAGAAGGGGATGGCAGGCCCTGCCCACAGCGGGCTTACAGTCTTGCTGGGGAGATAGGCAGGAGACAGTGAGAAGGCAGAGGGGAAGTCTCAGACCAAGCGCTGTCCACCAGGGGCTCCTTGGTGCCCAGCAAGCCTCAGGGTGGACAGTCACACCCTGTCCTTCCTTGACTCCCAGCTAGGCCCCCACCCCCGTTGTCCTCACCTCCGAGGCCCTGGCCCCCGGAGTCAGCCCTGGCTCCCCACGCTGCAGCAGAGTCCTGTGCCGGCTGCCCCGCTGCTCTGGCAAGAAGTCAGGGGCGGCTGCTGGCTGCACTACGTCGGCAGGAAAAAGTCCAGAGCGGCCTCCACTGGAACCGAACTGCCAGCCTACAGGGCAGCCACAGGAGGCCCTTCACCCACCTGGCCCCTCTGCCCACCAGGCGGGGTGCATTCCTCCCTGGGCAGCCCCTGACCTGTCCCCAGGGGTACCTGGCTCCAGAGTGGCCACAGGCAGCAGCTTGATGAGGTCCCCACGGTGGAAACTGAGCAGACTGCTGTCATCAGTGATGTAGCTTCGCAGGGCAATGACATAGTTGGAGTCCTGCTGGGGGTGGGGCAGGTGTGAGTCCCCATCCTGCTGACCTCTCAGGTGCTTCCCTCTGGCCAGCCCTCAGAGTTCTAAGGAGCCAGCCTAGACCCTAGCCCCGCTCAGGCAGCGTGCGGCAGCCTGGCTAACACCCCCTACCCCCACCCAGCCATAACACCAGGGTGGAGGCCCTGGCCCCGGCCTGCACGTGCCTTCTTGAGCTGACTCAGGTACAGCTCAACCATGGCCTTGACGATGCCCGCCCGGGCCGTGTGCAGCAACACTTGCTCATTCTTCAGTGACAGCTGCAGGGTGGAGGCTCCCCGGCACTCCACGCCTAGCACCTCAGCAAAACTGCACACAAGGTTGGGTGGGAGTTAGGAGCCACCTCGTCCCCCACCCTTCCCACCCAGCCCTGGCCCAGCTCACCTGTATGAGCAGAGGGTCTTCAGCTGGTCGGGGTGGAAGCCGGAGCCTCGGGTGACCTTGAGCAGTCTCAGCCCCCGGTGGGACACACCCAGCAGCTGCACATCACTGCCACTCTCGCCCTGTGGGGAGCCAGGTGGGTCACAGCAGGTTCCTGGGTCCCCAGCACCAAGGAAGATGTCCTGGAGCTGCCCTTCCGTCAGGGACCCAGACCCCACCCCACCATCCCAGGTGTCCCCAACTCTGACCGAGACAGGGAAGATGCGGGAGAAGTAATTGGCCCAGTTGTCCCGGGCAGCTACCACGATGCGCCTCTTGATGCTGTCTTCCACGGAGGCGATGGTGTCCAGGCCCACCTCCAAGTCCCCTGCAGGCAGGAAAGGCCCAGCTGTCCCCAGCTCCTGCTCTGTGCTCACACAAGGAGCCTCAGGGGCAGACCTAGCCCCAGTCCTCAACCCCTGACCCCAGGGCCCCCTACCCAGCAGGTCCTTCATTCTGCACCGCTCGTCCTGGGAAATCCGGATGCAGGACTCGCTGAAGGTGTCCCGAAGGATCTGGAGCAGAGACAGGCAGTCACCACAGGTCCTGGGAGCAGCCATGGGTACACCGGCAGAGGGAAGGCTGGTGACCCCGGAAGGCACCCCATGCCCTGATGCCTCTGGGAGGACCTGCCCTCCAGGGCCCCTGCAATGTGGGTGGGTCAGGGAGACACTGGGGGGCTTCTAAGCCCAGAGCTTGTCTACCCAGAACTTCCCACCTGCCCCTCCCCAGGAAGGGAAGAAGGGAGGCTAAGTGCAGAGTGGGGGGCACAGAGGCCGAGTCCCAGGTGCCTCTGGGGAGGGGGCAAAGTAACAAACATCACTTTGAAGCACCTACTGGCACATAACGACAACAACAACACTGTGAGCTGGGCCCTGGGCTGCGCACTATATATCCTTTGTTTTCTCAACTGGTGGTTTTTTTTTTTTTTTTTTTGAGGTGAAATTCCCTTCCTATGATGTATGAAGCATCTTAAACCAAACACTTCCGGGACATTTTGTGGCCCCGGTAGTGTGTGCACCCACCACCCCATCCTCCTTGTGTTTAATCCTCATCTATAAATGAGGCTGCTGCTCTCCCCACAAATGTTGGGAGGCCTGGGGGACAGCATGTGTCTGCAAGTGTGGCAGTTTGATAGGCGAGCTGCTCTTACCTGCTCAGAGAGCAGCCGGAGGCAGTAGGGATGGCTGAAGTTTTCACGGGGGTAGAACACCTGGAGGAAGGGTGAACGCGCCAGGTCAGACTTGCCCTGAGCCCCCACCTACCCCACCTCTGCCCCCCTAGGCCCAGACTGGAAAACCAGCCCTATGAGGGTCACTTGAGAAAGCAGACCCCAGTGTTTGGGTATGGGAATGGGGTGCTGGGATCCTGCTTGTATCCCCCAAAGACCCCACCCTGTGCCCACCTCCTTGCGTAGGAACAGCTTCCAGGGCGTGCTGGTGTAGGAGAAGCAGACACTGCCCGAGGGCACGAGCAGCTGGGTGGAGACCCCCTGGTCATCCATGGGCTCCATCCAGACTGGAGGGTAGGGCATCAGCTGAGGGGCTAGGGAGCAGAGACTTGTATCTCCCAGGAGCCCCACCCCTGCCAGGCCCACTCAGCCTCCTGCCACCTCACTCCTGTCCCCAGCAGCCTCTCTTGCCTCTACATCCCGCCCTCAAGCTTAAGCCAAGGCCATTAGCCAAGGCCACTACATTCCCCTCAGAGGTGTCAGGTCTGCCTGGAGGATATCCTGCGAGGGACAGCCCTTGGCCACAGGGCAGGCCCCAGGGGTACCAGCCCTGCCCTGGGCAGGAATGCAGAAGCTGGGGCTCCTCACTGATGGCTCCAAAGTCCAGAAGTGGGCAGCTGATCTCAGCCTTAAGCACCCAGAGGTTATTGGGAACCCTGGCCCCACCCCACTGAGGCCAGCCCATGGGGATGATGTGTCCTTACCACGGGACTCAGCCGGGTGGGTCTCTGGGTCCCCAGACAGAGGCTGTGGGGGTGCTGGTGGAGGTGGAGGTACCCAAGGAGTGGGTGGGATCTGCCCAAACAGGTCCTGAAGGGGCCCCTGCTTCTCCTTGATGGAGGCTGAAGGCCCAAGCCTGAAGGGAATCTTAGGTCGAGGAGCCACAGCTGGTGGGGTGTCCTTCCCTGGGCTATGGGACAGTGTCTGGGAGGCACAGAGAAAGTGTACAAGTTGTGTCTAGGGGAAAAGGCCACATGACCAAGAGTGGAGAAAGCTCCAGGCTGGTTTTTCCCAGAGACCTCCCAGCAGCTTGGGGCCTGGCAGGGCAGTACGGGGGTGCTCACCAAAGGGGGTGAGCTGGCATTGTTGATCCCCAGCTTAGCCAGAGCCTCGTCTTTGGGGTCATTTTTCTTCAGGAAAGCTTTGGGGGTCCTCCTATCAGCAAGAAGAAGTCACCTGGGGTCCCTGAGGCTGGAGCAGCCCCACCGCCTCCTCCAGGGAGCCCACCTGGGTGGCTGCACAGGTACAGGTACAGGCGCCGGGCGGCTCTGGTACATGCGGATGATATTGCGGATCTCCCGGCTGGGCTCTGGCTGCTGGGCCTCGGGATCCACACTGCGTACCACAGGCCCCCTACTCCTTGCTGGCCTGTGGCCACCGCCAGGTCTGGCCTCTTTGGCTGGCTCAGCCTCAGCCTCATTTGCAGCTTTGGCTGCATCTTGTTTCAGTGGCTTCCTCACTACTGGGGGAGGAGGAGGGGATGGAGAAGACGCTGTATGGAGGTAAGACAGTGATGATGGGATGATGAGACACTGCCCCAAAGCACAGAAGCCCCTGGGCCCCTCTCCTGTTTCCCCCGTCTCCCACTACCACCTGCTCTTGCTGTCTCCTCTTCTTGCTCCTCTTCCTCCTGTCCCTCCTGCTCCTCTGCCTGTGGGATCTGGATCTTGGCTGGAGGCTTCACCATCTTCATCTTGATCTGCTGCTGTCCTGTAAGTGCCCCACATAGCCCTCTCTGTGACCCATGTGTGCTCAACAGCCCCCACCTGACCTGCCCATCCAGGCAGCTTAACAGACAGCTGGACAGGCCACACTGATCCAGGGAGCAGAGTGTACCCCTCACCCTGGGCCAGGCTTCTGTGCAGGTCCACCTCCCCATGTGCTCTTACCCATCTTCTGGAAGTACTCTCGTTTCTGTTGGAAGCTCTTGGGATTCTGGGTCCTGTCACTGGTCTCCTCTGGGGGCTCCTCCTAGCAGGAAGGGGAAGTGGAGGTACAGCCCTAGCCAGCTGAGTCACCATGCTCACAGCATACCCCTTAACCCCTGGGGGACCTGGGGCCCAGCAGTCTCTTCTCTCCTCCTTCCTGCTCACCCCCCACCCTGTGTCTCCCATCCCTGGAGCCCACCATCTGTCTGTCTCCCACTCCTTACCCTCAAAAAGGCACTTGCTGACTCAAGCTCACTCGCTGGCTCTACCTGGGAGGGGGGAGGCTTCCTGGACTTGTGGGTAGTTGCTGGGGCTGGGGCTGGGGCTGGAGCCGGGAAGGCAGCCCTGGAGGCCTGGATCTGGCGCTGCTGCTTCTGAGTCTGCTCCAAAGTCAGGGTCATGGCCTGTGTGGTCATCTGCTGGGCCTGGAGAGGAAGAGGTGAGAGCCCTGGCCTGGCCTGAAGGCCTGTCCCTCCCTTCACCCCCACCCTGCCTAGTGCCTGCCCACGCTCACTAGGATCAGCGCCTGCTGGTTGATGAAGTTCTGCTGCTGGACGGCCAGCTGCCTGGCATCCATGCTGGGGAGCCCCGGCTGTGATGGTTGGGGAGGCACCATCATGGCTGAGAAGGTGAAAGGTGGGGCCGGGTGGTGAATGCCACAACCAAGTGGATAAGCTTGCCCACTGTGCCCTCTGGGTCCTGGCAGGACCCTCCCTCCACCAGTCCAAGCCAGCTGTTCTGGGAAGGAGCCCCAAGGTCTCCAGTCCTACCTGGCATGGCAGGGACTGCACCCATTGCTGGCATCATGGGCACAGGTGCGGGCATCATGGCAGGCTGGTATCCAGGCACCTGCATCATCCCTGAGTACACTGAGGGAACAGGCCCTTCAGGCTAGTCCCTCCTGGGCCCATGTACACCTCCCACCAGTCCCAGGCAAAGAGAATGGCATCGGCCATAGCCACCAGGGTGCTGGCCAGAGCTCTGTCCCCAGGCTGCCTGAGGGGCCCTGGGGCTTGGGGGCAGTACCGCCTGGATGAGACTCTGCCAGGGTGAGATCCAGAGCCCCTCTGGGTGCAGCCTGCACTCACCCATAGGGTAGCCACCCTGCTGCATGGGTCCCATAGCGCCCCCTCCCTTCATGCGGCCCTGAAGAGCCCAGCTCTGCTCGAGATCCTGGAGGAACAAAAGTCACAGGTCACAGGGGCATAGCTAGAGCCAGGGAGAGACAAGGGGGCAGCCAGGCCCCAGGGATGTGTGGGCACCTACACTGAGGCCAGGAGAGAGGACTGGCTCAAAGAGGTGGTCCAGGAAACCATCCAGGCTCCGTGACGTCTGGGCATCCCCTGCAGAGCAGGAGAAGATTGGTGCCACCCACTGTGGGGCATCCTGCACCCCATTCCCAGCCCTCTGTCAGGCCTCCAATGCCCACTCCAGCCTTACCTGTGTGGTAGTCCCTGCTGGGCAGTGTTGGGGCTGGACCTGGGGGTGGTTCTGGGAGTATCCGGGGGGCCTGGATGTCAGGGGCAGGAGGTATGTCTTCAGAGGCTCTGCAGGAGAGTGAATCCAACTCACTGTCTTGGTTGGGGAGTAGCCAGGCTGCGGCAAGATCTAGAAGGGGCTGTGGAGCTGCTCCCACAAGCTGGGAGGAGGGTTAGGGGGAAGGAATGGGCCTGTAGCAGCTGTGACCCAACTACAGGGTACAATAGGGTACCAGAAGGGACCACCACCAGGGCAGGGGCAGGGGTACTGGGGTGGCACCTACAAGCCGTGAGGCGTGATGGGATAGCCGTGAGAGGCTATGGGGTAGCTGTGGGGGCCGGCTGGGTCCCCCAGGTCCTCAATCTGGCCGATCAAGTCCAGGACAAAGTCGCAGCCAGCCAAGTCCTGCCAGACCTCCCCGGAATGCAGGGACACAGACCAGCCACGGGGGGGCACCTCCAGGCCTCTAGGAAGGGTAGGAGTGACAGGCGGGGTGGTCAGTGAGGCAGAGGGAAGGACCACAGGGCTTGCCAAGGTAGAGGGGCTGGAGAAGGCGGTCCAGCAGCATGCGATGTCCCAAAGCCCTAGCCCTGAGAAGCCCCGTGTCACTCAGCAGCTCAGACAGCTCTCAGCTGTCCCCATGTCCATAGCTCTCGCTCACTGATGGGCCACAGGCAGTCTCTCACCCCTCACTGTGAACTCTACTCCTCACTCTTGACTGGAATTCACAGCCCGGACCACTCCCCACTTCCTAGCCCCTTGGGGGATGCAGCCTTTGGCCCCAGGAGGAGGAAGAGGATGGGGACCATGTCAGTGTAGCACTGTCCCCCCATGCCAGATGCCCCCATACCTGCTCTGCAGGATCCACCCTGCAAACTGCTCCCCCGTGGTCCAGGATTCCACCTCAGCTGAGAAGCACTCCTCTGCAGGGCCAGGAGGGGGGCCAGATGAGGGACAGCAAAGGTCCACCCCAATGGGAAGGGGCTGCTGTCTATGGGGCTCCAAAAGCAGGGACAGAGGGGACAGGAGGGTCCCAGGGGGCTGCTGCTATGCAGCAGGCAGCTGAACAGGTGGGAGTGGGGGTGGCGAGGAGAGAGCAGGGCCCAGGAAGGCAGGGGACCCCCTGGGGGCCAGTGCAGTAGGAGAATCACCACTGAAGGTGAAGACATCCAGTGCCATGCGGCCGCGCCGCCATCCAGCTGTCCACTCAAGCTGGGTCGGGGGGTGGGCCCGTGTAGTCCCGGGGGCCACCCGTGTCTGCTCCAGGGCGCCCAGCAGCTTGTGCTGGCACAGGGCCGCCATGCCTGTGGGTGCCTGATCAGACACGAACCTACGGGACAGCCCAGAGCTACTGTAGGAACAGGACGGACTCCTGAGCCCAACCCTGGTGCCCCCACTGCTAGGGCCCTTACTTGAGCAGCGGCTTGTGCAAGGTGGGCATGGGGGGGAAGGCGCCAAGCAGGATGGCCATGAGAGCCCAGCCACGCTGGCTCTGCTGCTCGTCCGGGTTGTGCCAGAGCTGGGCCACCAGCTGGCTGAAGAGCTCATCCCGCAGCCCTGGCCGACGCTGTCCCTGCAGCACCAGGTACGCACCCATGGTCTGCTCCTGCCAGGATGGCAGGGACCCATCCCCCAGGAGCCTCAGCATCTGCCAACCAAGACGAGGGGGCAGGATGTGGCTGTGTCTCCTACGCTGAGCCAGCCCCCCACATCCTCCTTGCTGGGTCACTTGCTGGGTCACTCACCACCTTGTTGATGTCTAATGCATGCTGAGGGTTCTCACCGTCCAGCCGGGTCAGAGGCTTGGCCAGGGGCTGCCCAGGGCGGGGCAGGGAGGGTTCCTGCAAGGAAGGAGGGTGGCACAGTGCCCAGGAAGAGGCTGTCTGTGCTGACCACTGGGGACAGCACCCAGGGGGACCACAGGAGCATGCACCCTGGATGGGGGCACTGGTGGGGACAACCACCTTAGGACTGCACCATCACTGCTCATCCTGATTAGAAGATGGGGACCACATGCACAGATGACTCAGAAACCCCCAAAGTGTAAAGAAGAAATTGGAACCCACTGCCACCGCCCCAGCCCCAGATCACCATGGCTGCCATGTCTGTCTCTCCAGCCTCACTTTCTACATGTAAGAACATATATTCCCTGCCCCCTGTGAGTTTTTAAGCAAAACTAGGTCGTGAATCCTGGTTTCTTTTATCATGGTGAAATATTTATAACCAAACATTTGTCATTTCAGCCATTTTTATGTGTGTGATTCAGTGACACCAGTGATCTTCCCCCACACCGTGCACCCTACACTTCTGTCCATTTCCAAAATTTTTCATCACACTTAACGGAAGCCCGGGGCCTCCTCTGGAGGGGCTCCTCATTGTTCCCTTCCTCCTGCCTGGGAGTCACTAATGAACCTGTCTCTGCAGGTGGTTCACAGAAGTGGCATCACACACTGCAGGTCCTTTTGTGTCTGATTGATTTCACCAAGCACTGTGTTCCAGGTTTGCCCGTGTCACAGCAGGTATTGTGACTCCTGCTGCTTTACTTCATGAGGCAAAGTGGGCAGTTTCCCTTTAAAGATATGCCTTCGATGGCAGGGCAATCCCACAGGTATAAATAATAAGATGTTGCACATTCAGGCCCAATGGGCATTTCAGTGCAATTTAGCTCCATCCACAGCCCCAGTCCCTGGAGAGGGGCAGGGAAGGTGAGCACGAGGGGACAGACAGCTACCACTTGGGGAGCCAAGGGGGCAGCCAGGACACACGCAGGCTGGGGGACCCACCTGGAAACCGATGGAAATGAAGCTGGAGAAGGGGAACCGGTCGATGTCGGGTGGGAGGGCCAGGCTGGACCGGGCAGTGACTTCTGGGGGCATTGACTCGGTGATGCTCTCTGCCAGGGCAAGCTGTCGGCCTGGGGATGAGCATGGTGACATAGGTCAGGTGTGGGCCCCAGCTTGGACCCTACCCCCATACTTCCTCATGAGCCACCTTCCCCTTAGGGAGAGCTGGGAAAGGGGCAGTGAGCTCAGGGGAGCCCAGAGTATCAGAGGGACCACATGGGACGGAGCCATGGAACAGGAAAAGGACTGAGAGAGGGGTCACGGCAAGGGGGACACCTCCATCCAAGACTCACTTTCCATGGTCTTCAGCATGATGGCCAGCTCAGCAGGGATCTGTAAGCGCCCCAACTCCTAGCAGGGACGGGCAGTTAGCCCAGGTACTCAGAAAAGGGATGTAAAGTCCCCATGCTCCTCCTCACCCCCATTATTATAAACGTCCTCTCCCAAGACCAAAGATCCTGATTCTTGACATTCAAACAAATGGGCCCCAAGAGTCCTCAGAAGGGATCCAAAAGCACTAGAGGGACAAGGCAACCCACCCACATCCCAGGGGGCATGATGGAAGTGCCGAGAGACAGGACCCACACTGGCATCCCTGGCTGCCCTCTCTCCATCCCCCTCAAGCAGTGCCAGGTTCAGCGGGTTCACACCCCAGTGTAGAACCCCTCTGGTTCTCCAGATACCTACCATGCTTGGAAGTTTCTCTGAGGTCCTGATGCTGTGCCAGCCACACCAGTGCCCAAGCTGTTGAGGAGACACAGGAAGAGCTGATGCCCCCGTGGGGAGTCACCGAGTCTCCCTGTGGCAGTTCCCCTGTCTGGCAGCCAGCCGCCCCCTCCTGCTCCTGGGGGTTCTGGCACCAGCAGAAGGACAAGCACAAACCCAGAGGTGCCAGCTGCCCAACAGTGGACAGTGGATCAGGCCCTGCCTGGCCCTGGATGTCAGAGCCCTCACCAGCCTCAGCACTGAGAGCGTCACTGCCAGTCTGCCAGGATACCAGGAAGAGGGCAGGAAGGGGAGGGATGGTCCCAGGGGAACAAAGTCCAGCAAGGAGGGGCCATGGAGGAAGAAATATGTGGGCAATGACCTTTGAGCTTCTTTATGGCCCTCAAATTACAGTCATCAGTCAAGAGAGGGGAGCAGGTAGAGCCCAAGGGAGGGCTGGAGGGGCTGGGAGGAACCCCAGGCAGGGAGTGGGCAGGGTCGATAAAGGCAATGAGCTCCCAGAGGCCCCAGCTGACACTGGCCAGGCAGAGGGAATGGCAAGAGCTCAATGGGCAACAGTCTCTCAAGGCCTCAATCACTGCACAGCTGGGCTAGGAGGATGGACACTGCAGGGGTTCTGTCAGTGTTGACAGCTGAGGCTGGCTGGCTTCCATCCTTAGCCTCCCCAGTCCAGCAGCCTCACCCAAACCCTTTTACCTGTAGTCTGTGCCGTCTCCAGAGCAGGGGCCGGGCCACCATCAGGATGGTGTTCAGCTGTCCCAGAGCTGCCTGCCGTCGGAGGTATCGTTTCCTGGAGGCCAGGGAGAGAGGGGTCCAAACTTATAACTCCTGCCTGGTGCCTGAGTCCTCATCCTCTGGGTCAAGAAATTAACATAAAAATTGGCGCAGACCACTGAAACTCCTAGATGTTTAATAGAAGCAATATATAAAAAATAGGATATTATTGAGGGGTGGGGACGACAGGCAAATTAAGAAGCTATTTAGCTAGGGATTAAATTTCTAGGCACTGGAGCCAAACCAAAACAACAACAAAGAAAAAACAACAATTCATTGCCGTTGAGTCAATTCTGACTCATGCAACCTCACGTGTTACAGAGTGTATCTGCCCCGTAGGGGTTTTTCTTGGCTGTAATCTTTATAGAAGCAGATCACCAGGCTTTACTTCCATCCCATCACTGGGTGGATTTGAACCGCAGCCTTTAGATTAGTAGGCAAGAGCACATTCCTTGCACCACTCAGAGACAAAAGAGCCAGGCTACCTGGGTTCAAATCATTTCCCCGATCTTTAGTCACTGTGATCTTGGATAAATTACTTTAACTCTCTGTGCTTCATTTTCATCATCTGTAAAATGGGGATTATCATAACACCCATCCCATGGTAAAATTAAATGAATTAATAGATGTTAGTGTTTAGAACAGAGTCTGGCATATTATTATTTTATAAAGAGCCAAGCAGAACATCTAAAAATGAAAAAAGATCACTGAAAACCTAACTAAGAAAAACAAAATCTAACAGTAAATTCAGTGTTCAAATAAACTGTTTTGGTTACCTAGTGGCTGCTCTGACAGGAATATACCACAAATGGGATGGCTATAACAAACAGGAGTTTATTCTCTTACAGTTTGGGAGGCTTTAAAGTCCAAGTTCAAAGTGCCAGTCTCTTTGGGCTAGGTGAAAGCCCCTCAACCTTGGGGTTCAGCTCTGCCTTCTGCTCCCGGCCCACTGGAGCTAGAGGCTTTACTTCACTCAGACAGCTAACAGCTGCTGAGGCTAACAAAGCCAAGGTTGACAAATAAAATGGCACGTCCCGATGTTACCAAACCACACGGCAGGCCATTAACTCAAGTCCATTGTAAGTCCCAAGGTTAGCAGAGCCTGGCAGGATGCTGAACAATGACATGGCTACATTCAGGGTCCAAGCGTGCCATAAGCCAGAGACCATTCCCAAAGCTGCTGCTTATATACGGGAAGCAAACCACATACCCAAAGCAGCGACTCAGTTGCTTGTGGTAGATCCCACCATGGAGATGATTGCCAGTCTCATCATGGGAAATAACTACCACCAGCTGCCCAGCCACTCAACCAGGCCCAGCCAAGTTGACACACAAACATAACCACCACACTATCTTTGAGAATTTTCCAGATGTAAGACTTGACTCATCAATGAAGGAGTCATGAGCAGGATATAAATTTAAAAATAAATAGACACCCAGATGCATCATAATAAAAACCAGAACCCCTGATACAAAAAAAAAAAATCATGTAAACAACTAAAAAAAAAAATAAAGGTTACTTACAAACGAATAAAAATTAGACTTAAGCAGATGTCTCAACAACAAGGAGAGAAAAGACAATAGCAGTATCTTCAACACAATGAGGGAAAATAATGACAAAAGTTAGAATTCTACACCCAGCTATACTATGATTCAAGAATGGAAGTGAAGACATTCTCAAAGACAGAATTGACCACTCTCTAATGCTTGTGAGTTGGAATCAATAGGGGTATTGTTTTTTTCAAATGCCGTTGGAAGAACTACTAAAGAATATACTTCCGTAAGAAGGCAACAGACCTCAGAAGAGTGATAAGAGATAGAAAACAACACAAAGAAATTGGTATCTCTAAATAAGTAACTGGGAGCTCTGGTAGCATAGTGGCTAAGGCACTTGACTGCTAACCAGAAGGCTGGCGGTTCAAACCCACCAGCCACTCCTCGGAAGGAAGGTTGGGCAATCCTACTTCCGTAGTGATACTGCCTCGGAAACCCAAGGAGGGGTCACTATGAGTCGGGGCCGACTCGACGGCAAATAACAACAACAACAACAAATAAGTAACTACAAATACATATGCACATATTTGTATTCTGTATTTATATGCAAATAATGAGCATGTTATACGTCTTTTTGCCAACTGCACCCACCCACCCCTACAAGGTATTTTAGTAAGCATGCTATGCTAATTTTTTAGGAAATTAATTAAATGAATTTTAAAAATAAACGTTTCAAAAAATCAGCATAGCATATAGAACAAGCATATTATTTATATAAAAACAGAATAATGTAAGTTTTACTAATTTGAAGGGTCTGAATCTGACTTCCCAGCTGGGCTGGGAGGTACTGTCTCTGCCTTCCCCATCCTTATCACCACTGTCTGGCCCAAAGTAGATGGAGCAGATGGTCATCCAGCAGTTGTTGGATGAAGGCATGCAGACAATCTGTGAAGGCTGAATAGGAGTTAATTGGGTGGAAAGGAGCAGAGAACCCTCACAAGCAGGGGGGACCATGTGTGCAAAGACCAGAAAGCAAAAGGGTGTACAGTGAGCCCAAGGAACCAAGAGAAGTCCCAAGTAGGTAGGATGGAAAAAGTATGGCTTAAATAGAAGCTGGAGAGGTGGAGAGAGTCCTATGGGCCAGGCCAGTTACAACCTGATTCACGTTTTTCAAAAATTGTTCTTGCTGCAGAGTGGAGAACTGATGAGAAAAGAGAACATTCAAAGACTCCAGATTGCAGTTAAGAGCAGCCTGAATAGGTAAAGAGCTTCTCGTGACTGGGAGTATCCAAGCAGAGGCCACATGGATATAGGCAAGGATGCTGTCAAGGAGAGATCGAATGCTGATGAGGCGGGCACAGGGGCAGGTAGACTTGTCCTGACACTCCACATCTCCCCAACCCTGCCCCGTCCCCTTCAGAAGGAGCCCTCCTGGCCTCATCCCACCCCCTTGAGCCCACAGCTCCTTCTCAGGCCTGCAGACCTGGCCTGGAGCCCACGCACTCGAGCCTGCATCCGGGGCAGGAGGCGGAGGCAGAGGCGCTGGTGGGAGATGTAGGCATGGAGGCCACGGTGCAGGGTGAGCAAGGCCTGGGCACGCTGCTGGGCCCGGTGCTGCTCCAGCTGCTGCTAGCCCTGCTCCCGCAGCAGGACCTGCGGGCAGAGTTCAATGGGGGAACCTTCTGCCTACCCTCCTCCACCTCCCCACTGTCCCAGAGGCACCTGCTTAAGCTGGAGTTGGTCCCAGTTTTTCCCAGAACACTCGTCTCCTGTACACCTGTGTGTCCCCATCACACATGGACACATGTACTCACCTTGGAGGCTCCCAGGTGATAGAGGGGCGACTTGGCCCCCATCACCTGCCTCAGGATGGCACCGCACCTCTCCCGGTCAGAGGGCTCTCCCTGCCCCTCTGTGCCCAGGGACCGGAACCTGCCCAGGGAGGGAGGGCAGAGGTCACACTGGCAGTGTGACACCCTGAGCCCCTGGCAGTTATGCAGTAACTCAATAAGGAGTGGTGGTTCAATGATTTAGTGCTTGGCTGCTAACTTAAAGGTCAGCGGTTCAAACCTACCAGCTGCTCTACAGGGAAAAAAAGATGGGGCAATCTGCTTCTGTAATAATTACAACCTTGGAAACTCCATGGGACTATTCTACTCTTACTGGGTCGTTATGAGTTGAAACTGACTCAAAGTCAACAGGTTTGTTTTTTTCCCCCTAAATTACTAAACACCTAAAGAAACCATAGGCCCGCAGTCACTGCAGGGGGTCCTCCACATCAATACTGACCTCGAGGACCCTTGGACACTGGCTGATCTGTCCTGGGATCCTACCTGGCCAGGAAGGCCTCGAAGGGCAAACGCACAGGGAAGTTAGTGCTGCGGGCACGTATGGCCTCCAGGATGCCCAACTGGTGCAGCTGCTCAGCCACGTGTCCTACATCAAAGAGGCCTGGGAGCTGGGTGTGGGCCAGGGAGAGTGGGAGCCAGGGTCAAACTCAAGAGCTTAAGGCTGTAGGTATGTGTGGCAGGACACAGAGGGGTGAGAGGGAGTCAACAGCAATGAGGGCAGGGCAGGGGTGGGGGCTCTGGGAGGAGTGGTGCCCTCCCCAACCTACCTGGGACCAGGTGCTGGCAAGCTCACCTCTCCAGGATTAGGGTTGAGACACTGGACAAAAGAGACGTGGCTCCTGATGGGTAGAAGGGGGGGGGGTCACCTGGGCATATGCCAGCCCCTCATCCACCTGCCTGGGGTCAGGTGTGGGGCACTGTTCTCACCTGTGCAGACGTGCTATAAGGTCCCCCAGTGACTGCTGAAAGCGAGAAGCCAGTGTGGGTCTGCCTTGCCCTCGTCCCAACTGGGGTTCTGCTTCCTGGAACAGGCTGCCCACCAGCTGTGGGTGAGAGGTGAGTGGGCCCATAGTCCAGGCTGCCCCCACTCCCACAGCAACAGGGAGTTGGTCTAAGGTGCCAGAGACTCGAGGGTGAGCCGCTTGGACAAGGGCAAGCGAGTCCAGGGGGGATGAGAGTCTGGGGGCAGAGTGGAATGGTTGGGGCCCCAGGAGGGCTGGCAGGCCACCTGGAGCTGGCTCTGGTCAAGCATTTCCACCACAGCAGGGTCAAGGTGATCCCGGTTTCTGTTTAAAAACTTGTGAACCTGCAGAGACCATGTGGGAAGGGGAGGGGGAGTCAAGAAAAGAAGGCTGGCTATGTCTGACAGTCCATCCTTTCCCACTGGTTTACAAGACCCTTTGTGGTGTGTCCGATCCCCCCATATACCTTTGGGTCTGTACTGGACCTTCAATTCCATTCCACTGATCAGCGCATTCCTTGGCAATACCATATTCTCCTAATCAGTGGAGCTTGACAATATGTTTTAGTATCCAGCAGTGCAAATTCCTTCATCTTCTGATTTTTCAGTATTTTATTGGATACTCTGATATATTTCTTCACCAGATAAAACTTCAGAATGATTTTGTCAAAACCCATTCCCCCTCCTCCCATAAATACCCCCTGGGGTACTGTACTAATTTTCTAAATCAACTGGGGAAGATTTGACAATCTTAAGGTTCCCAACTGGAAGGCACTTTGTCACCACTTAAAGATCTTAAACTCAATAGTTTCATGGTTGCCTTTATTCAAACTCTGTCTTGTTTGGGGAACTCCTGGGTGCTGTAGTTTTGATTCTACAACCAGAGCATACCACCTCTTCCAGGGAGCCTCACCTGACTGGCCTCACCTCAAACTAGTCACAGTCCCACCCTGGACACTGGGATCCTCCCCTTGGCAATTTTCTTCTGGGGGTAAGTACCTGGTCTCCCCACTAGACACAGGCAGGGGTCCAGAGGGAGGAAGGACAATCTATTCAGTGAGCACCTACTATGTGCCAGGCACCTACCAGGCCGTTTCCATGTCATTGCATTTTCACCTTAACCAACAAAGCTATAGGCAGTTTTCATTCCCATTTTATAGATGAGAAAATGGAAGCTCAGAAGGTGATATAAACTGTTAAGAAATTATCAGAACCAGGTCCCATATCTGTATTGTGCCCCTTGTGGTTGGAGGGTCCCAAGATCTCAACTCCCCCTTCCCCCTAATTCTCATCCAGGATGCAGTAAACCATGCTCCGAATTGAGTGGGGTCACCAGGTAGGGGCCGCCCCTCACCCACTCCTTTCATCTGTCCAGGTGACTCTGCTTGGATAGGGGACAGCAGGATCACATCACCAACTCCCCAAGATGACAGATACCTGATATGTGACAGGCCCAGCATAATGCTGCACAGTAAAGATGGGCAGGGGCAGCTGGGGCTTGGCGTAGCACGGGTGGTCGCCATGGTGATAGTGGCACTTCTGGAGGAAGGTATGATCCGTGGCCTGTGATGGATGTGCTTCCCTCAGGCTTTTTGCACTCACTGCTCCCTACCTGGACTGCACTTCCCTCTCAGGGGCCTCAGGTGCTGCATATACTTTAATGTAAGGTGAGAATTTTTTTTTCCCTTCAAAAAAGTCATTCCTCTAGGTATATATTTGAAAGAAGTGAGAATCAGGACACGAACAGATATATGCACACTCATGTACATCGCAGCACTATTTACAATAGCTAAAAGATGGAAACAACCTAGGCACCCATCAGCAGAAGAATGGATAGCCAAACTATGGTACATACACACAATAGAATACTATGCAACCCTAAATAATAATGTAGAATCTGCAAACCACCACACAATGTGGATGAACCTGGAGGACATTATACTGAGTGAAATAAGTCAATCACAGGACAGATAATGTATTAGTTTACTATAGTAAAAAGTCAAGGAAAGGTTTATATATGGAAGGAAACTTTCTTTGTTGCTTACCAGGGGTGTGAGGAGGGAGCTCTGGTAGCATAATGCCTAAGGCACTTGACTGCTAACCAGAAGGCTGGTGGTTCAAACCCACCAGCCACTCCTCAGAAGGAAGGTTAGGCAATCTACTTCTCATAGTGATACTGCCTCAGAAACCCAAGGAGGGGTTGCTATGAGTCGGGGCCAACTCAACAGCAAATACCAACAACAGGGGTGTAAGGGGACAGGAAGGAACACTGCAAAATTTTTTAAAAGAATAAGTCATTCCTCAGAGAGGAAGAGTCACTCTATATCTATAGAGTCCTTACCAAGGGTGTGCACTCTTCCTTAATGACTTTATGTTGAACAAACAAATTGTGTTTGAGACACAGTAGCCTTAGATACACTCTCCCTCAGTCAACACTAGACTTGGTGGCTTATAGAGGACCCCTGATAAAAATCATGTAAGAGAAGGGAAACCTGTTACCTCAAATCGCTTGGCTGGCCTGAGCTGAGTGCTCAGGATGCATGTGCATGTGTGTGTGCGCACGTGCACACACACATGCATGCGCACAAGACCCTGACTTTTAACTTGGGGAGAGGGAGCGGGGAAGAACCGCTGCCGTCGGGTGGATTCTGACTCACAGTGACCCTAGAGGATAGAGTAGAACTGCCACAAAAGATTTCCAAGGCTCTGTACAGAAGAGACTGCCACATCTTTCTCCCAAGTGCTGAACCACTGTCCCACCAGGGAGGGGAATGTTAAGGTGATGGAGAACTTTGGGAACAGGGAAGGGTGATGATTGTACACGACGGACACAATGTCACTGAACTGTACATGTGAAGACTGTTGAAATGGCAAATATTTTGTTACATATGCATTTCCACCCACTGCGATCAATCCCGCCTCACAGCGCCCCTAGAGGACAGAGTAGAACTGCCCCACAGGGTTTCCAAGGTGGAAGCCCACTGCCACATCTTTTCTCCCTTAGAGCGGCTAGTGGGTTCACACTGCCAATCTTTCAGTTAGCAGCAGAGTTCTTAACTACAGGGCTCCACATACATATCTACCATAGGTTAAAAAAAAGGAGGAGGATGGAAACTTTTAGATTTAGCAATTATTTCCATGGTTTATACACAAGGCTCTGTTAAGTCTTTCAAAGATCACTATTTAAAAGCAATCCAGTGAGTGCTTATTTTATGGACATAATGAACCTATAACAAAATGCGTAGTGAAGAAACTCGCCCCCATGTTAAGTCAATGGGAATTGGTGGCTGATTCAGTGCCCAACAAGGACTGAAAATGAGCTGCACTTCAAGGTGCTCAGGCTGAATGATGCTGCTGATCCCTGAAAACCATGTAGGGTGACTCAAAGTGTCTGCGGAACCTCAAAGAGGTCTGTGAACAATTTCAGTAAAATGTTAGAAAATGGGAGGCTGAGAAAGCCAGTGATCCACAAATTAACACTGTGCTATCCAGAAAGGCTTCATGTATGTCTCTGGGTGGTTCACGCACTTGCCTGCAACCTCAATGGCCGGAGGCTCAAGTTCACTGAGGTGCTTCAGAAGAAAGGCCTGGCCATCTTCTTAGAAAACCAGCCACTGAAAGCCCTTTGGAGCAGTTCTACTCTAAGGCATGAGATCACCAAGAGTCCAGAGCTGACTGAGTAGCCACTAGTTGATTTCATTTTTAAAAATGATGTTAAGAAATGAAACATTCCAATTGGCTGACACCCTATGGTAAAAATCCTTTCATTTTCAACCTCTACCTGGAAAAACCTGGGGAGTCACCTTATATTTGGGGCCATGGTGTATTTAGCCTATATGGAAACTCCTGCTCTGCTTGGTCTCCATTGAGCAGAAACTGTCTCAGCTTGCAGGGGTGGCCCAAACCCCACATGCTCACCTGTGGAACCTGTACCACACATGGTTTCCTATTTTTTTCTGTTTTATTAACTTCTCTCCTGCTCTGAGAGGGGAAGGGCTGGCTCTACTTTTCTTTTCTTTCTTTCTTTTTTTTTAAATTATTCCCATTTGCCTATCCATAGCTGTCTACCTATGTGTCTACCCATAGGTTAGTGTTTGTTATTACTGTTAATGTGGTACTGTGTCTGCAATACACTTCTGCTCACCCTTTTATCTCTAGCATGGTCCTTGGTACACATATGCATTCATTCATTCACCCAATAAATATATGGTGAGTTGTTAACATATGGCAGGCACCCCAAGTAGATTGTGACCTTCTCAGCCAAGGACGCAGCCCTAATGGAGCTCAGTGTAGCTCTGGAAAGAGTAAATGAATAAACGTACAAAGTAATTACACGTGAACATGAGTGCTACAGAAATATGAACGGAAGTCAGGCTGCAGAGTAACTGGGGAGCCATTTAGGTAGAAGGGAAGGTGGAACGGGTGCACCTCAGTGCCGAGACTGTTCCCTGGAATAGTCTGGAGGCCTGAGTGGCATCTGGCCACCGTTGGAAGGCATCTGCTCCAGGACCACCCGCCCATCAGGCACTTCTTCTGCAGCCACAGATACCCAAGTATCTTGCCCACGATCATCCAGAGAGAGGCTTTGAACCAGGTCTGTGAGAGCCCAGGGCTCTCTCTCCTTAGCTGTTACATTCCCAGGCTGTGCTGAGAGGCTGTGGGCAGGGTCTTTGAACCTTGCTGCCACCCTAGGAGGTCCTACGACTGTCCTGTCCCCACCATTTAGGGGATCACTGCACCAGGCCCTCACCTGGGACAGCCATGTCTGGGCATCCAGAATACTCAGGAGGCTGTAGGGCTGGTCTTCAAGGAGATCCAGGCAGGACTCCCGTGGAGTCTGGGTGATGGGTACCCAGGACAGCAACTCCTGCCGACACTCTTCCTGGGAACAGCAAGCACTTGGCCTTCACAGAGTCCAGCCACATCTGTGGGGCCCTGTCTGAGCCACAGCAAGTGCGAGTCTCCCATTTTACAGATGAACAAACTGAGGTTCAGAAGGACACCCACAACAGGGGGGCTTTGGAAAAAGTTTTCAGTTCACTGCTCTTTATCTAGGACAGCTTCTGCTTCAGGCAGCACCAGGGTGACCCCACCCATACCCATGCCATCCCACTTCCTGTACCTCCTCCTGGGCCAGAAGCATCTGGCTGGAGAAGAGCTGCAGGCGCTCACTTGCCAGGTTGCTGCACAGCTGCTCCAGGCTGTTCACCCGCAGCGCCTGGGGGCACATGGGCAATGAGGTGAACATGCAAGTGAGACGGACCCAGGGCAGGGGTGAGAGGGAGGTACACAGGCCTGGTGCCCTTCATTCCCCTCCCATAGAGGCTGTTCCACTCTCCTCCTGGGGGCTCATGGAGGGCTGGTGCCCAGAGCAGATGCTACAGCCAACAGAGTCAAGTGCAAAGGCCCCTTTGCATGCTCTGCCCCAATCACACTTCAGGCCTCCCTCTTGCTGCCCACACCCTGCCTTCTGCTTCGACACTACTGTGAGCCTTTGGGCCTCTGGTCATGGGCATCCTGCAGCCTGAGACACCCCTTTTCCAACCACCTAGCTGGCTATCAGAATCCCTCATTCTCATAAGCAGGACTCCAGGCCATCTCTTCCAGGAAGCCTTACAGCATTCCTCCCATTCAGATCACAGATCCTTCTGGCTCCCCCAGCACTTTAAGAGTAAGCCTCATGGGTCCTCACTTCAGGCAGCTTTGCACAGTTTCACACCTCTAAAACATACACGCATAGGCACACACAAAAAACACACAAGACAGCGCACACACACAACACAAATACTCACATGACACAGTATGCACGCAAGTACACACAACACACACTCACATGAAACACAAGCACAGACACATACGTGACACACAAGGGCCAACATACATGACACACAGGTGCACACACATGACACACAAGAGCATACATAAAAGTACACACATGACACACAAGTGCACACAGGACACATGAACACACACATTAGTGCACACACATCTGATACACAAGCACCCACACACACACACTAGCACACATAAACCTGACACATGAGCATGCACACACAAACACATACACACACACGAGTATATACTCCACACGCATGACACATGAGCACCCACATGATATGCAAAAACACACAACCGCGTGTATGCCTGCACATATATACTCCACACACAAGCATATGTATACCTGACACAAGAGCATACACATGCATGAGCACATATACATGATGCATAAGCACACACACGCTTGCCAGTCACCTCCCTCCTCGGGACAGCTGATGATCACTGAGGACATTGCAGAGAGCAGGATGGGGTGGGACGGGGTAGACTGCCCATTCAGGGCCACCTCCTCTCTCCCGCCCCTCCTCCCTGCCCTGAGGAGGCACAATCTTCTGGAAAAGGGGGAAGCCCTTCTGAACACTCAGGAAGTGTGGGGCACACTCCCTCTTCCATCTCCTTGCAGTGCATGTGAGGTGGGGTAGTGGGCTGACCCATCCTGTCTTCCACTGCCTCCGAGGCTCCTGGAATCTCTCACCACAAGGCAGAGCTCTCTGGAGGCTAGGCAGGATGGGCACAGCAGGGCAGGAGAGCTATACCTATGGGGTGCTCAGCTCTCTCCTGGACCACCTCTTTTAAGCTTGTCATCACTCAGGAGGTAACTAGCTCCTGGTATGGGCCCACTTCACAGACAGGAGCACTTGACCACAGAGTGGTTAACTCACCAAGGCCACATAGCTGGTGAGTGGCAGGGCTGCAGCCCAGGAACTATGGGATGTCCAGAGTCCCTGCTCTCACCTGCTGTGCCAGGGAGGACAGCAGGGCTGAGGCAGGGGCTCAGGGTGGGCCCACACCTTCACCAGAGAAGCCTTGAGGGTTCCCAGACCCTAGGCGCTCAGGTAGCAGAGAAGGAAGCAGAGGCCCTGCTTGGAAATAAACAGACATAGGGCAGCAACAGCTTCCTCTTGGCAACCTGCAGCTGAAGGTGAATGGGGAACCTCAAGTTCTCATCCAGGCTGGCTCTTTACCTGGACCACACAGTCCCCCGAGGGGGGCCTGTTCTTTCCTCCACCCTTCCCCAGTCCCCAGCCCTGGTGTCCCTCAGCCCAGCCATCACCCCACAGATGTAGAATAGGCCACTGAAGACACACATGTGAAGCAGGCACGTGTCCACAAATGTCCCCAGGACAGCTGGAGCTTCTGCGGTCCCTGAAAATGTGGCAGGGTGAGGAGGTCCCCCAATCCTGAGCCACCCAGCCAGGTCTCTGGGCCCAAACTAAGGGAAGGGTGACCTCAAAGCCGTAGACATCCACAATAGTGACGGTGCCCACACTGCCTCCCTCTGTAGGCGGTGCCAGCTGTGTGTTGATCTGCCTCAGGAGCCAGTCAAAGAGCCGTGAGTACAGGGCTTTGGCCAGAGTGTCCCTGTGGGTACTGTGAGTGAGCAAGCCATGGAGCATAGCACCAGGGCTCTGGTCACTCCTCCCACCCTCAGGCCAACCACCACCTGGCATCGATGGCACCTTCCACAGGCAGGGATCTTGAGACCCGACCATATGGCGTCTCCTGGAGGGTAGAGCAGGTACATGTGGGTGTGTCCAGCCCATGGCACGTGTGGGTGCTCACCAAGCCTGCAGGTGGCCCGGGCTGGCCTGCCTGCCCATCTCTCAGGCTCACCAGGACCCTCTGGGTGACAGCCTCCTCAAGGCGATCAGGTGACACCCGCAGTAGCCGGGCTGCCATGTGGATCTCTGCCCAGCTAGATACAGCAGCCACCTCGTGGGAGTCCCGCTGAACAGAGAAGGGACAGGGGCAGCAGCACACGGTGAGGTCCAGAAAGCGAGCCTGGGCTTTATTTCTAAACTGGGGTCCTGCTTCCTTCTCTCGTACCCAGCCTGCCCAGCCTGGGACCTGGGAGCCCAAGGGCTTCTCTGGAAGCCAGGGGCTTCTCCAGGGAGGCCTAGAGTCTGAGGCACCAAGTTTGAGTCCTGACTTCACCTCTTTACTAGCCGGTCGGCTTGCAAAGTCTCCTTCCCTCCCTGAACCCCATGTTTTTACTGTCACAGGCAAAGCAACAATGGTCACATTAGTGTTGTCTTCCAAGTTCAAGCAGTATACAAGGTGATTCATACCGTGACAGTTCTTAGTGGGGCAGGCGTGGGACAGAGTCAGAAAACCCAGTTCTCACTTTTTACACCTCTACAATGGGGACCTGCCTGTTGTCCAGGGCAACCCTGAGGCCCCAAGCAGTCCCTCATGTGCTGCTGACACACAAGCACTGGGCATCATCATCATTGCCCTGACTATGTAAACAAGCCACCACCAAGCCAGCATCCCACTGGCCCTGCCCACAGGATGCCCACCTCTGAAAAAGAGAAACAGATGTTGCCCAGCTGCAAGATGGTGGCCAGCATGGCCCAGACTGCAGCCAGCTCCTCGGGGCACAAACCCAGAGCCTGCAGGGCTTTCACCAGCCCCTTGAAGTCCAGGGCATCCTCCTTGCCTGGCAGCCTGCAGGCCTGGCCCTGCAGAGCACAGCAGGGTGAGGACACCACATCTGGCCATACTTCTCTGGCTCTTTCTGGGCCAAGAGCCTGGGAGGAGCTCAGGCCGTGCCCTGTGACCCCACCTGGTTAAGGTAGTAGTAGGTCTCTGGTCCCTGTAGGGAAAGCTGCTCCCGCTCCCAGGAATCCAGACCCGCCAACAGCTCATAAAAGACATGGAAGCTCCGCTCAGCCTGGGCCTGGAGGAGAAGGGCTGGCTTAGGGGGAACAGTGGCTAGGCCTTGTGCCCCAGGGAAGCCAGGACAAATCCTGGGGAAGGTAGGCCCAGGGGCTCAGGGGCCAGAAACTCCTATAGTGGGCCCTCTCTCCCTCTCACTTTGGGAGCTGGAGGGGGGTGAGGAACAGGGTGGGTCTTACCTGAAACACCACCCTTGAGGTCTCAAGCAGATAATGTGACACTGAGACTCCTACGATGACCCCCCTGTGGGCAAAGGAGACTAGATGGGGATCCCCAGGCTGTGAGCCACTTAGAGACCCCACTCAGAAGGGGACCTGCCATAGAATGCAGCCTCAGGCTCCCAGCAGGGCCAAGGGACCACAGATACCCATGTCTACCTAGATCCCTGCCACTCACTGTTGCAAGCAGAAGCACAAGACCTGCCCAAAGCGGCTGGCGTTGGCATTGAGGATGGTCTTGGCGTGGCCAAAGCTGCTGAGCACAGGCAGCACGTCCTCCAGCTGTGTGTGTTGGGGGGTGGTCACTCGTGCACCCCTGGGAGCAGCTGTGGTACCCTGAATCGGGCATTCCAGCTGTGAGCACTTTCTGCCTAGGGGCTGTGCTGGGTCCACGGAGGGGGTCAGTCCCATCAGGACAGCCCCACCCTCCCCTGAGCCCTAAAAGCTAGAGGCCTGAGGAGCACCCTCCTCCTGCCCAAAGGGCAGCTTGTCCAGGATCCCAGGGAAACGGCTCCACATGGTCCATGAGGCACCTCCAGCCTGCCTTCACCTGGCATCCTTGGTGCCTCGTCGCTTCCCACTCTAGGCTGCTTAGGAACTGCACGACCTTTCTGGCAGCTTCCGTCTTTCCTGACCCGCTGTGGCCACTGCAGAAGGGAGGGGCTAAGGAGGGGGCAGAAACTGGTAGTGTTCTACGAAGGGGCCCACTGAGTCTGGGAAGCATGATGTGCCCACCTAGAAGTGAAACCTACCCTAGAGAAGGTCCCCAGCAATAGAGAAAGACAGACCCTAGGCCTGGAGAACAAACAGAAAAAGATCCCAAGATGCCACATCCAGGGGCACGTGTAGTGACTTCAGCCCTTACGCAGTCCAGAGCTGCCACTCTGTGGCAAACTAGACTAGTGTTCAAATGCAGACCTCAGGTCCCCTCCTCACCTGGCCCTCAATGTAGCCTGTGGGCAACCAAGCCAGGTGTTCAAGCCCATCATAGGTACAGCCAAGGAGGCAGCCTCCATTCACCTGATTAGGATGCACGCCTCCTGCCCCGCCTTCTGAGCCACGCTTCGGGCTGCTTCTGCAATAGTGAAGATGTGTCTAGGGGGAGCAGAGAGAGATGAGAAGGTGCTAGAGCTGGGCACCTGGGCCCTTTTTCCAGCCAGCTCCAGGTGCAGGTAGGACGTGCGTTGCAGTAGTGATAAGCAAGAACTGAGGGGGCAAGGCCACATACGGTGTGGTGTTGGGAGCCTTCCCAGGGCGGTAGCTGGCCAAGACCTCAGGCATGAAGAGAGGCAGGGGCCGGCGGGGGTTCAGAGCAAGCAGGAGGGGCCCCCCAAAGGTCTGGGGAGGAAGGCAGAGGTCTCATCACAGCATGGAGGGAGCAGGTGAATACAAATGGAGTGGGTGGGGCTCCAATCTGCTCCAGCCCAGCCACTATGGCCCCACCCCATGGTCCCCAGAGAGGGTCCACCACCCACCTCAGGAAGGAGGAGGGATGAGGGGCTCCAGGGATGATGGAGGGCCCTCTGTTCCCAAGGGAGAGGTCACTGCCAAGCCCTGTCCCCTCCTGTCCCGTCCCCAGGGCCCCCATACATAGATGCGGTCCAGGTGAAACCTCTTCTTCAGGCACAGGAGCACAGAGCTGTCACACACCAGCCTGGGGGGTGGTGAGGAGTTGGGAAGGATGGAGAAGTCTAGGTTGTTAGCTCTGCCATGGGCTGCAAGACATCTGGGACAACTCACTCAACCTCTCTGAGCCTTGTTCAGAAAACAAGGACCAGGCTGTTAAGTAAGTTACCCACCCAGTGGGGTACAAGACACAGGAATAGGCCCCCCTAACTGGTAGCATAGTGGCTAAGACACTTGCCTGCTAACCAGACGGCTGGCGGTTCAAACCCACCAGCCACTCCTCGGAAGGAAGGTTGGGCAATCCTACTTCCGTAGTGATACTGCCTCGGAAACCCAAGGAGGGGTCGCTATGAGTCAGGTTTGACTCGACGGCAAACAACAACAACAACAACAACAACCCAGAGGGAAGCTTCATGCCAATTAGAGAGGGAAGTTGCCCAGAGTGCCCTGAATTTCATCCCTCACCTGCCACTTTCAACAGAAAACCCTCTGCAAGGCACAGCCTCTTCTAAGAACCTAATAGGGTGTGTAGGGTTTATGAATATCGAGCACAGAGGAGATATGAGGATATGTGGGCCCCGGCCTCCGTTCCTGGGATGGCAGAGTTGGAGTCACGCGCTCACCGCAGCTGGGCCAGGTCCTCTGTGTCCTCCAGGGCTGCCACCACGCTCCTGCTCTCCGCATCGGGTACAGGTATTGCCTCAAGGTGCCTCAATGCCAGGTCCCGCTCCAGTGCCTCCTCTGCCTCGTCCTCGGGCTCCCACCGCTCTCTTAGGGACCCAGAAGCAACAGGGCGCTTCTCCTGACCCAAACGGGTCTCCAGGTTGAGCCGGGGCAACAACAGGTCGGGGCTAGGCCCAGGGTCCTCGCGGGACTCCGAGCCCTGAGCCCAGTGCACCGGAACCTCGGCTTCCAAGACCTCCGGTTCTGTCTCGCTGTTGCAGCCACTCTCGTTGAGCGAAAACTCATCCGGAGGAGTCAGGGCGAAGAGGGAGCCGCCGCGGCGGGGCCCGGACGCCCTTTCCTCACAAACCGAGCTCCCCTCACTGTCCCCTGCGGCCTCCCCATCAGGCCAAGTGCGCCCTTCCCCTGAGGAGGCGTCCGCGGTCGCATCTCCTGAGCGTCGGATGCTCGACGCCCTCCTCTCCCTGTGGATTCTGGGGAACACGACTGCACACTTAGGGTCGCCAGCGGGTCCCTCTTCACCAGAGAGGTGATGGGAGGCTAGGCTCTTCGTGGCCTGCGCCGACCTGGGGTTGCCGCCAGGGGAAGCTCTCGCGCTTCCTCCTAGTACCGCGACGCCCGCCAAGCGCAGCGCCAGACGATATCGTAGCCGCGACCCGAGGCCACACCCACCGCCCTCGCCCCGTCCCTCGTCCGTCCGCGGCCCCGCCCCCCGCTCTTCACTCACCCTCAGTGGCGTCCCCGGCCCCTCACCCACTTGAGGCCCCGCCCCCTGCCCCTTGCCCGCTTGCAGCGCCGAGCCCCGCCCCTCGCCCGCGCGCGGCCGGAGCTGCCGCCGCAGCCACTTCAACAAGCCCAACGCGCGCGCTACGCGCTGGAGCCGCTGCTTGAGGCCCGCCACCCGAGGAACGGTGCCTGGCTGAGACCTGGCGCCGAGCGTGCTCAGCGTCACGAGGGCAGCCAGCGACGCCGGGTCCCCGGGCGCGTCTCCACGGTCCGCCTCGGTCTCGCAGTCGCCCGCCACCAGCTGTATCTTCCCCAGCACCGTCTCCGCCTGACGGCGGCGCCTCGCTCGGGGAGACGAGGCTTTGGCTTCTCTGGGCTTGGCGCCCAATGCCTCGCCGTCGGGCTGCGTCCCGGGGTCACTTGCACTTTGGGATGGCCTGCGGTCTTCAGGAGCCGGCGGGCCCTGGAGGGCGCGCGCGCGGCTGCCTGCGATGGGGCTGGAAACTGGGGACCTGCGGTCTGGTGCAGCTTCTTTGTTCTCGGGGGCCCGGCCAGGACCGGCCCGCCTCGGATTCGAGACTGTTCCTGGCCCCGAATCCTCCCCAGCTCCCCTGACCTCCGTCTCCGACGACCCGTCCCTGCTCGAGGGCTCGGCGCTGCCGTGGCGTGTGCCCAGCCCCGGCGTTGACTCCACCCTGGTTCTGATCCTTTCCGAGCCCGTGTCCGTTGCCCACGACTTGGGCCGCCACTGCGGGGCCCAGCTGCTCTGGCTGCCGCTTTCCAGGGCCTCGCGGGCTTCGCTGTCCGGGCAGGAGCTACCCTCGTCCCTGCCTGACGTGTCCTCGTCGAGGCTCTCTCTCTTTGGGCGGCCCAGACCGGTTGAGGATCGTCGCCCTCTCCCTCTCCTCCTGCGGGGGCCGCGCTCGCACGGCCGCCCTTTTCCGGCGGGGCTTTTCTCCACGCGGCCCCCTCGACCGTCCTCAGACTCACGGCTTTGCTTGGAGCCGTGTACCCGACGCCGCCCGCTGCCTCGCCTCCCTGGGGGCGCCCGCGGCACCTCAGTCCCTGGCTCTCCGCAGTCGCTGTTCCTCTCTGCGGAGGGCTTCCTGCGACCACCAGGGGTCCCCTGACCTCCCTCGGCGGTCGGCTCCGAAGCGGGTGTCGCCGCGCGGGGCTTCCAGCGACCCCGTCGGCCGTCCTGGCCGGGCGCGCTGTCGGCGCTCGCCGACCCCGACTCTTGCTCCCCCGCCGCCGGCCTGCCGGGCCTGGCTGCGCGCCGGGGCGTTTTGCCCTTGTTCCTGCCCATGGCGAGCCCAGGGAAGAAGGGCTGCCCAGCACCGCGTCCTCGCCTTTCCTGGGATCTGGCTGCCCCGGGTGCCTAGCCCTCTGGGAGCGCACCGCACAGCTCGCTCTGCGCTGGCGGGGCCACAGGCTCGCTGGCCCCCCGGGGCTCCTGCCCCACTCAAGAGCATCAATAATGCAGGCGGCGGGGCCTGACCCCCTCGGCCAACAATGGAACCGAGGCCGCCCAGGAAAGAGGAGACGCTGCGGGCAAAGGCCGCGAACAGGGCATTTGTGCGGGCCACAGCCACTGTCAGCCCGTCCAGCCGGGCTCTGCTCTTGGCTCACCTCGGCTTCCCGGTTTCACTGGGGAGGCCAGTGAAACGGACCGACCTCCTCATCTGGGAATACCCACCCTCCTTCCTTGACCTTCTGGGTTGCTCCAGGAGGCTGGATCAGGCAGACCTTCACCCATGGAGTCCTGTGCAGGACCCCAAGCACATGAAACATAAATGTACTCATTAAACTGTGTAAGCCAAGCCCCCCCACCTCATGTCATGGAACCTAACCCTAATTAATGATAAACTTAAACCCATAAACTCCCCATCGCCCCAGTATGTGTGATTCTTGGAATATTTATTTTTTTGAACAGGTCACATTCATGTGCCCCAGTGGCACACTGGTGAAAGTGCTCGCTGCCCTCCTAGAGAGAAAGATGAAGCAGTAGCTTCTGTAAAGATTATAGTCTTGGAAACTCTGTGGACAGCTCTACTCTGTCCTATGGAGTTGCTATCCATCTTAATTGACTTGATGGCAATGAGTTTGGGTTAATACATTCACATGGTTCAAAATTCACAAGGTGAAAGCCTCTCAACTCAGCTACTCAGTTTTCCACTGAAGTAACTAACTTCCTTCTGAATACTATGCAGAGAAAAAGCAAGTATTATTTTATTTTTCTCTGTTTAGCACAAGTGCAAGTTTACCTAGCTTACTGCTCTTCACCTTCCTTTTTTCTCTTGACAATTTAAGTTGGAGATATAATAGTACATAAAGGGCCCTCCCACCTTTTTAACAGCTGCGTGTTGTTATGTGCTGTCGAGTCGGATCCGACTCATAGAGACCCCTCCTTGGGTTTCCGAGGCAGTATCACTATGGAAGTAGATTGCCCCATCTTCCTTCCAAGGAGTGTCTGGTGGGTTTGAACCGCCAGTCTTCTGGTTGGCAGTCAAGTGCCTTAGGCACTAAGCTACCAGAGCTCCCAACAGCTACATAGTATATTCCAGAAAATGGCTATACCATCATCATTTAACCAATTCTTTATTGATTTTTTTTTCTTAGAGATGAATATGCCTTTTATTTTTACTATCTTGGAAAAGCTCCAGGCACTTATCAATGCTGTATGACACACATTTCTTCATGTGTTTGTTGGCCTCCTGAATATCTTCTTCGGTGAAGTGTCCATTTCTTCTGCCCATTTTTAAATTGATTTGTTTCTCTTTTTGATGTTGAAGTGTTGTTATAGACTTGAAGTCTATAAGTTCTCTATAAATTTCAGAGATAAGTCCCTTGTCAGATATGTCATTGCCAAATATTTTTTCCCAACCTGTAGGTTCTCTTTTTACTCTTCTGGAGAAGTCTTTGGAAGCACATAAGAATGTAATTTTAGAACCTATAGGGTTTCAAAATTTATAAATCTTTACAGAAGCAGATTGCCGCATCCTTCTCTTGTGGGGAGGCCAATCTTTCGGTTAATAGGGGAGTGCTTAACACTGAGCTACCAAGGCTCCTTCAACATCAGCCTGTTTGTAAACTCCAGCCCCTTCCTTCCCAACACTAAGGACGAAAGGCAATGGTTACCAGAGTCCTGATGTTCGGAAGCCTCGTTTTACCCACAAAAGAACAGAATGTGGGGCTTGTACACCAATTTTCATAATCACCAAAATATGTAAACAACCAGATGTCCATCGACAAATGAGTGAATAGACAAAATGTGGTGCTCAGTACCTGAATTATGCTACAACATGGATGAACCTTGAAAACATGATGTTGAGTGAAAGAAGTCAGCACAAAAGGACAAATATTGTATGGTCCCACTTACATAAATATCTACATACACAAAATGCATAGAGATCAAAGTTTATTAGTGATTACCAGGCGCTGGGGAGAAAGGGAGGTAGGGAGTTCTCGCTGAAGGGGTGCCAAGTATCTGTTGGGGGTGATGGAAACCTGGAAATGGGCAGGGTAATGGCTGGACAACATGGTGAAGGTAACATCGTTTCATATTCCATTGTATGGATGGACCACACTCTTGTTTATCCATTTATCTGTTCATGGTCATCTGGGTGGTTTTTACCTTTTGGCTTTTGTAAATGGTGCTGTAATGAACATTATCGTACAAGTCTCTGAGACCCTGCTTTCAAGATTTTTGAATTGCTGGGTGCGGTGTAGTAAATTACTTAGTGTGGCTTTTCTACCCATAAGTCTTTGTAAACTCCAAGGTGGGAATTGCTATTAGCAACTGAGGAGATCCTGATTTTAAAGTCGCCCACCTGGGTTATTTCTGTTGGGCATGGCACAATACAATGTTCTGGGAGGTTCCCACTCTCTCTCACGTGTTTAGAGTTCTGATGCTGTGATTGGCTAGTTTGACCACCCTTCCGGGCTCAAAAGGAGGCCTCCTAGAGGCAGAGCTCTCTCTCTGACTGCTGGTGGAGGAAGACGTGCTGCCGAAAGAGACACGCACCCCTGAAAGAGACACGTGCTGCTGGGCTGAGTGAGACACCGAGGGACCGGCACTGCTGGGAAAGAGACTGTGAGAGACTCTTGGCTGAGGGACGGTGGGCTGGGAGAGAGACTGAGCATTTTTCTTGAACTTGAGTTGTAGCTTGGTGCTTCCCTAATAAACCTTGTAATCTGTGAGTTCTGTGTGGCCACTGCAGTGAATTATCGAACCCAGGAGAGAGGTGGTGGGTGCCTTGGGGGAACAGTTGGTGAAAGGGCTGGAGGGAGGCAGCATGTCTGGCCTTGCAGTAATAGGCCTTGGGTTACTGCTGGTAATCCTGCCTTCCCCTTGTAGGGTTAGAGGAGGTCAGAACATGTGGCCTCCTTGTCGTTTTTGCACTGGGTCATACATTAATTCTGTTTTCCACAAGCAACTGCACCATTTTACATTCCCACAACAATGGATGGGGATTCCAATTTCTCCACATCCCTTCCCACACTTGTTTTCCACTATACACAGATTTCCAACTAGTTCTTCCTGCCCCAACAGAAGGTCTTGTGTACCATTATCAACCTATTAATCACATGGACTCATCTAAACCTCACAACAGACTGTGAGCGAAAGACTCTTACCACATTCCATACAAGGAACTGACTTGAAGAAGTTAAATAATTTGCTTGAGGTCTTACATGTGGAATGGGATTTGAATTAGACTGATCTGTAGAAGAACACTGGAGTCCCTGGGTGGTGGAAATGGTGAAAGTTCTCAGCTGCTAATGAACAGGTTGGAAGTTCAAGTCCACCCAGAGGTCCCTCTGAAGAAAGCCTCCTGAAGCACTTCTGAAAAACCAGCCGTTGAAAACTCTATGGAGGTCAGGCGTAGTGTGATAGACCCGAGTCAGCCATGACTCAAGGGCAGCTGGTACTGGAACAAATCTCTTCACAGTATTTCCCTGCTTAAATGCCTTCAAGCACTTCTACTGCCTTAGGATAAAGTCCAGACTCTTTCTCTGGTTCACTGGGTGTGGCCCTCAGCTATGGCTTTGAGTTTTGTTATCTACGCACATCTCTTCCAACTCTCCCAGACAGTGTCCCTCTTTAGGGAACTGTTCTTCCCTGTTCCTTGTGGTTCTTAATTCCTCCCCTCCTCCAACACTTTCCAAAGAGAAATGGGATAGTCAAGTTGTACAAGTTCCAGAATCTGAAGATTTGAGCAGGACAGCCAAGGTCTGGAAAGCAGGCGGGTTGGACCCATCCTGGTTATCTGAGTGGCCCTGGGCCTGTTTACCTCAGGACCTGGTGCTCAGCTCTTCTGGCCCCTGTGGCTCAGTGGCTTCACTTCCGGCATGTTCTGCCACTCCAGCAGCTCTCCGCTCCCTCCAGAGCAACCAGACTAGTTCTGCACATGTCCTCCTCTGTCCTCTGTCCAGAATGGTTGCCTATTCACAATGCTTTCTGCCCAGCAAGCTCCTGGCCAACTCTCAGGTCACAGCTTAACATCATTTCCCCAGATGCATTTCTCACGGGCCCCTGGATTTTAGCGCGGTGGTAGAAATCTTGCTTTCCACGGCGGAGACACCCAGGTTCAATTTCCAGCCAATTCATCTCACGTGCAGCCACCCCTCGTCTGTCAGTGGAGGCTTGCGTGATGCTGAACGGGTTTCAGAGTGGCATAAAGGCCTGGTGATCTCCTGTCAAAAGTCAACTCGTGGAAACCTTGACTCCCAGTGGCCCCTGTTGTGCCTGGGCTCTCCAGGAGGTGGGGGCCAACTTGACAGCAGCCAGTACCACTTACTGTAACAACTGTGAACTCCACATGGGCAGGGACATGTCTCGGTCACTTCCGAACCCCAAGTGCCTACCACATAGTAGGTGTTCAACAAACACTGGTGAATAAAGATATATTCCAAGTAGAATCAAAAGCTTAAGCTTATAAAGATCTTGAATAAACCAAACCTATGGCCGCTGAGTTGATTTCAACTTATCTTGCAACGACCCTATAGAACAAGGTAGAACTGTCCCAGAGTATTTCTAAGGCTATGATCTTTACCAAAGCAGACTGCCATGTATTTTTCCCAAAGAGTGGCTGGTGGGTTCGAACTGCTGACCTCTCAGTTAGATCTGAGCACTTAGCCATTGCTCCACTGGGGCTTTTCCATAGAGACCTTAACGACTATTTAATCCAACCATGTCATTTGCGGATGGGAGGAGTAAGCCCTTTTGCTTCCAGGTACCACCCCCACTTGACAGTATTCACCCCTCCTCCCCAGACGTCCCCTGATATCTAGATAAGGCCACCATGTGTGAGAGATTGTGACTACAGGAAAAGGCCAGCAGGGGTATAGCCAGGGCCTCTTCTCCAACCCAGGCACACAAGTAGACAGACTCAAGATGGTTATGTCTTGCTGTTTATTCCAGAAGACAGAAGGCGCAGTGGTGTCCAGACACAGCTGGGTACAGGCCACTCTGATCCAGATGGCTTAAAATAGCTTCTCCTGAGCACCGGCCTGGCCCCGGGGCAGAGCCCGGGGCGAGGGGTGGGCCCGGCACTGGCTGGCAACCATTTCCATCGATATGGAACATTTCTACACAATGAAAAAATTCAGGTCGTTGGACCAGTCCAGTGAAGAGGTAATAAGTGTTTATTAAAAACTTTTTCACCTAGAGGCAGTTAAATTTTATAATTTAAAACCCAGCCCACTACAAAAAAAGGGGGAGAGGGATACAAACTGTGCAACATTGACAAAAGGACTGAGACAGACGGCCTGGGAGGGGTGGCCCCAGGCTTGGGGTCTCTCCTCTCTAGAGGCCAGCAGCAGGGCGAGACCCGGGGTGACGCCGTGTAGCCCAGTCCTCGGCCTGTCCAGCTGGGGGCAGTGCCCCAAGACGGGCTCAGTAGTGTGTTCACCAGTGCTGTGGACGCCCTCCAATCACTCTGCTATAGGAGACAGAGGGTCTTAGCCGCCCACCCTGAGCCCAGGTGTGGACGTTTCCAGGACCATCGGGCCATGTGTCAGGGCTGGGGTGGACCCGAGGCCTTCAGGGGCCCGGCGGAGGGAGAAAGGGCTCTTCCTTCTGCCCTCCCCGCAGCAGCAGTCTGCAGAGCCCCTACCTCCTCCATTGCTGAGGCTGTACCCAATCGCCACTCTCCGAGATCGCCAATCCCCAGAGCTCCTGCACCAGCAAAGACAGGGCAGTCACCATCTGCCGGGACTCGGGGCGGCCAGACCAGGACCCTCCATCCCAGGCTCTCCTGGTGGCCGCCCAGAGCCTTGGCCGCTGGCGCACCTAGCAAGTGACTTACGCTCGGTCCCCCTCCAGCGTGCTCTGGATCTCCTTCAGCACTCCTGCAGGCCGGGTGGACAGAGGGCTGTGAGGCCAGCGGGGCTGGGCAACGCAGCCCATTCCCCCCCTTTTGCTGGGTGCTGGATGGACCTGTCCCCTGAGGGAAATGGCCCTTGGTCCCATCCTGGCCTTCTGCATCTCCCGTGGGAACCCCCCCACCCTCCACCCCAACTCACTCTCATCATTGAGCAATGCGTGCTCCATCACGGGCCCTGGAGACCTCTCTGGAAGGCAAAGTCTGGGTCAGCAAGCCCTGTCCTGGGCCTCCCCCACCCCGGCTCCCTCTCACGGGGCCACCCCAACTCCCTCTCATGGGGTGGGGTGGGGGTGCTTGAACCCAGGGGGAAGGAATGCTATTTTCACTCCAGCCCCAACACTGCCTGCTCACTTGGGGTCCCACGTCTCTGTCCCCTCCCCAGGTCTGGGCTGGGTATGCTCAGCCTCTACCCCCTCGGCCCCCAGAGGCCTGTCTTACCATCTCCATCACTCTGGCTCCCTGAGTTCCTGGAAGCGGAGAAACAGTGAGGACTAGGGCACTAGGCTCCCCACCCAGTTCTGAAAGACCTGTCCCATGGGATGAGATGAACCTGCTGGGCCTCCCTGTGCAGGGGACGTTGGGAGGGAAACAGCCCAGCCAGGACTGGTGGCTTACAGGGAAGGGAGGGGAGAGGAGAGAGGTGGAAGGAGCAGAGAAGTACACTAGGTTCATGGTTACCACTTAATGGGGGGACTCTGGCCAGTCACTAGTGTCTCAGGGTGTCCAGGGGAGGGAGAGGCTGTGGCAAAGGCTGTCCCCTTTCACCCACCTGGCTCGGCCCACAGCCTTCTCAGGGCCCGCCCCGTTACGGGGGCGGCTGTGGTTCTTGGTTTCTGTGGATTCCACCAGACACCGGGGCTCAACCAGCCACTTGGTGGAGAGAGAGAAGCGCTCAAACTCCGAGGGGGAGATCAGGTAGAAACCTGGGGAAAAGAGGGGAACCTGGCAGGTGAGGCTGACCACAGTCCCCTGGGTCCTGAGGCTCCGGGAGGGGTGATTAGGGCCTCAGGACTCCTCCCACCCCCATACACACACCCACCCATCCCTGCTCACGCCTGCTGCCTGCACACCTTGGCCGTATTTGGTGAAGACACAAGAGGCGATGCCACTAACATCCTCCCGGCGGATGCAGCTGAAGCGCACCTGGGGCTTGAGCAGGGGCAAGGAGACCACCTGGATATCACCCAGGTTGGTGAGGATGGTCAGGTGATGCTCCCCGTAGTCCTCGGTCCGACAGCTGCCGAAATGGGCCACGCTGACCCGCCGCACCCGTGAACCCTCCAAGGCCGTCAGCTTCAGCTTCAGCTTGGCACTGACCTTGGGTAGTGTAAACACCTGGGGGCACAGGACGGCCAGTCACACCAGGTGAAGATCCCTGGCCTGCCTGCCCACTGTTACCGCTGGCTATGCTGGGCCAGCCCGCCCCGGGCATCTCCGAGGCAGGGGCTTCCCGAGCTCTCTCACTCACAGTCACTGGCACTTGGAGCAGAACAAAAAGGCTGTTTATTTCCTTGTCTGGGTTTGGTGTCCTTTCCACAAACAGGTCCTTCTTCAGTGCCCCTCTCTTTGCCCCTGGGGCCTGGGAATTCTACACAAGACCCCCTTGTTTCCTGTGTCTCTGCAACCCCTCAGACCTCAGAACACCTTACACAGGTGAGTCCCTGCCATTGTCATTTGTGCCCAGGTTCTAAGCCCTCAGATGTCCCAGGTACTCCTAGAAACCTTGGCACGCTGGGGACACCACCTCTACCCACACAGAACCCGGGGGACCACCCTGGGGGCCCTGCCTCTGCCCCTTCCCCCTACCCCTGCCACAGCACCCTGAGAAACCCCGCCTCTCCCCTGCACCACCTTGAGCTGCTCCTCAGATACGACCAGCAGCTGGTGGCTTCCCTGCATGTCTGGGCTCTTAGACAGGTCGTGGGCCACCTCCAAGGGCTCGGGGAGGGGCACGCTGTGTCCGTCTAGTACCAGGATGCCCACCACAGGTGCACGGTGCATCAGCTGGATCTCCTTGGCTATGGGAAGGAGCGGGGTGGTAGGTATGTGGCTGAGTACACCACCCACCCTAGCAAAACTGGGCAAACACCCACTGCCCTCACCCCTGCCCAGAGCTCACCCTGCTCTGCCCGCACAGGCTCATCCATCCTCCGCTCGGCAGGGGGCACGCGCAAGGAGAAGGCATAGACGGTACCGCCATTGGTACCAGCCCACAGTGAGGGGCAGTGGCGGGAGCCTGCCCAGGGGCAAAGGTTTTGGGTATTAGCCTGCTTCCAGGAAGAGGGTAGGGAAGTGCTCTCTAGGACTTGGGCAGGCAACCTGGGCTCGCTTCCTGGGCTGCCCACACACTACCTGGCTGCTTCTAAGTCAGGCCAGAACTTCTGTGAACCCCAGTTTCTTCCTCTGTAAAGTAGAGAAGCTATGGCCCTGCCTCTCCCTGGGATGCAGGATGGGACAGACAGCCACAAAGGCCCCTACACAGAAGCTCCCACACCCAGAGCAGCTTGGCAGCAGCTCAGATAAAGTAGTGGTCACCCACTCGACCCCTGCCCTTTGAGGAGGCACAGAGTGGCGGGGAACAGCCAGACAAGCCAACCCTCTCTGGCCCTCATAGCCTCTCTGATGGGGCGAGCTGAGGTCCAAAACAGTCAAGAGTTGTGTTTAAGGCCAGACTTCCAGATAGTGGTGGATCCTGTATGTGCACCCCAGACCACCTGACTCTAAGGCCCAGGAAGGGCTCTGGTCTCCTCCTAGTCCCAGGAAGACCCTGCCTAGGGTCCCACTAGTCAGACAGGTAGCAGCCTTCCACATGCCTTTATGCTAGGGGCTACCCACCTGGGTCCCCCCACCCCGGCTGGCCACTCACTGTCCCTCACGTAGGTGTCAGCAAAGTAGAGCGTGCGAACGAAGCCGGTGAAGGAGTCCTCCGCCGAGCGGGCCTCGATCTTGCGCTGCACGGGCGCCAGCTCCATGTTCTGAATGCCGGCACGCTCCACCTTGGAGCTGGCCTCTGGCACCTGTGGTGGGTGGGCCGGGCCTGAGTAGGGGCTCTGGCAGCCCTTCCCTGGGGCACTGTTGGGTCCATGCTGTTCTACCAGGGGAAGACTGGCTACAGCCCAATGCAAAGCCCTGCCTGGCCTGGATCCCAGGAGACCGAGTCCAAATGGGAAATGTCCAGGGTAGGGGTGGGCAATGGGGAGCCCTCTGTCCTCCCACACATGGTAGGGATAAAGGAACAGAATAACAAGAAAAAATAGCTAATGCACTGAGGACTTAGCTCTAAGGTAGGCATTACAATGATTCTCGTGTTCCACTTAGGGAAGTTGAGGCACAGAGAACTAACGAGACATATCTGAGGTCATGGTTGGTGGGTGGTGGGGCAGGCTACGACCCTTGGCATCAGGACATGGGGTCTGTGTTGTAGCCGCTGAGCAAGCTTGGGGATGGGGACAGGGTAGCGGGGACCCACTGCCGACAGCTGGGCTCTGTCTCAGCTTCACCTCTCCCAGCAGGCCACCCGGCCGCCGCTTCCGGCTGGACACCCTGCTCCGGCGCATCCGGCGGAAGGACTGGCGTAGGGACTTCTTCAGGGACTTGACGCGGGACAGGGGACCCTCCAGGGCCAGCTGGTCACTGGGATGCAGTGTGCACCTGAGGTAGATGTCAGGCCGTGCTGGCTGCCACGCCCAGGGCGCCTCACTTGGCCCCGGCCGGTCCTGCCCACCTGGGAGAGCTGCTCACTTGACAAAGACCTGCCGCCGCTGTTGGTGGTCGAAGAGGCCAAAGCCGTGGCTGGTGCCAAAGGCCACGAGCCGCCACTCGGAGTGCAGGGCCAGGGAGGTGACCACGGCTGGGGGCTGGCACTGCACCAACACGAAGGGCTGGAAGCCGGGCTCGAAGCTCACGGGGCCTGGGCGGGCACACAGGCGCTCGTGGCCCTTCCAGCGGTAGCCCTCCTGGTCCTGCAGCAGGTCTGCCTCCACCTGCTGCACCGTGAGCTCTGCAGCCTCGTCATTCAACTCCAGCACCAGCACCTGGTGGGGTGGGAAGCAGGCCTCTCAGTGACCCCAACTGCTGGGCCCAGAAAGGGCTCGGGATCCAGGCCGAGCCCCAGGGCCCAGCCTCTGCCAGTACTTCTGATTCCTGGAGGCTATCCCATTACCCTGAGACCAAAACCAAACCAGCTGCCAGTGAACTGATTCTGAGTCTCGGTGACCCACCCGTGTCAGGATGGAACACTACTCCACTGGCTGTCCAACAGCTGACGTCTTAGAACCAGATCTCTAGGCCCTTCTTCCCAGACTCCTCTAGGTGGACTCGAACCCCCAACCTTGTGGTTAACAGCCGAGTGCGTTAACTGTATGCACCACCCAGGGACTCCCCACTCCGAGGACCTTCCTCTAATGGCACCAAGCACCCTCGTCCACAGGAAGGGCACAGAGGGGCAGGGACTTGATGATACTCCTGCTGACATATCGGGATGTGCTCTCCGGGGGCTGGTTCCTGTCCTTACTCTCCCTCTCTCATGAAAGGAAGGTCACCGGCCTGGATACTGCCCAAGTCACCAACCCCGCCCCAAAGACCCCTCTGCCCGGCCCAGCCTGCTACCTGTCCCGCTGTGCCTGCCACAGCCAGGAAGCCGCTGTATTTGCAGAGGAAAATTTTCTGGATGCCTAGCCGGGGGTCATCACTGTAGGGGTCGAAAGAGCCCACCTGACCAGGGGAGAGGAGCTCATGAGTGCATCCGGCCTGCCCCCGCCATTCCCAGCTCCCAGGCACATGGCCTCACCTTGCGTAGTGGGGGCCATTCGTCCTCGCCCTGGGCATGGAGGTTCTCACTGGGATCTGTGTCAGTGAGGAATACCCGTACAGTGCTGAGTCTGTATAGCAGCCGCAAACAGACGCCCGAGGCATCCCAGAACCGCACGGTGCCATCCTCGTGCCTGGGGGCAGAGCACACCTGCTGCCATGAGAGGGATGCAGGGGCCAGGGACTCTGCCCACAGACTGTGGATGCCACTCCCATTCTCACATCCCACAAGGAGGAGACTGGCATCAAAGTCACCTACCCTGTGAGCAGCAGGTCCCTCTGGGGTGGGTCTGGGGCCAGGCTGGTGCCCCCGTCAATAGGCCACTCCTGGAGAAGAGACAGACACGTCCGTGGAGAATGTGGCCTTGAAGCTGGGGAGGGGTGTGTGGGGCTTGACCTACCATGGTGGAGAAGTGTGCACTCTGTCGGCTGCCGGCAGCAATGATGCGCTCCCACAGCTTCAGGGGGATGTTGGAGACATGATGGGAGCAGGTGATGGCAGAGCAGTGCAGGGAGGCCAGGTAGGGCAGCTGCACCGGTGGCCAGCCAGGTGTCACCAGGTCAATCACCACCAGCTCCTCCTCAGCCAGCACCACCAGGGCATAGGGGTCATCAAAGGCTGGGGACAGGTCAAGGGTCAGTGAGCACAGGAGCCAGTAGGAAGCACTGTGCCCATTTGGCCCCAAAGTCAGAGCTCCAGGGCTGGAGGCAGGAAATCTGCATGAAAAGCAAGCTCCCTGGGAAATTCTGATGCTCAGCTAGCTTAGGAGCTGCAGCCTTGGGGCCCCAGAGGAAGCCTCAAACCACGTGGGGGGATGCAGCAAGAAAGCCCCAACTCTTGGCTGCATGAGTGGAACCCTTTTACCCCCAGAAGGATACCAGGTGTTGGGGAGCAGCCTTGAGTCTGTCTGGAAAGCTACCGAGTGTAAAAGCACAGGCTGGACGGACAGGGGACACCAACCCAGAGTCAGGGCTCCAGCCAGGCTCTGCCCATCCTCTTCCTGAGCTCCCTCCTGAGAGGCCTGCCCTCCCTACCTGCAGCCACTAGCCCTGGCTCAGTGGTGCCTGGTGACGCTCTTGCCGTACCACAAGCTACAGGGGGTGTTGCCTGGCCCTGGGTGCACCAGGCCTTAGGGGCTCCCAGTCAGTGCTCAACCAGTGCACTGGATGGGTGAACAAGTGAAGTCGGACCCCATGCCCACTAGACAGAGGCCTTAGGCCAGAGTGCAGGCCCTGTGGCCTGCCCCCACCTGTCCCTCAGGCTTCTTGCAGGGTGGGTCTGGGTACCCAGAGGGATCTCTACCCTCTAGTCTCTTTTATAAAAGGTCTCTGGGAAGAGAAGCAAGCAGGACCCCTCCTTTCCACCCAGGTTCCTAAGCCCTTCCCCCCAGACCAGGCTGGTTTCCCAGCTTCCTGAGGCCATGGGGCCCCCTCAGAGCCCAGTCTGGGAAACCACCTCCAGCCCACCCTCCGGGCTGACAGCCAGTGCAGAGGTCCGGCCTCGATGCCTCTCCACATCAGGGTGCTCCTTCTGGAAGCTAGGCTGGCGTTTTCCCTCCAGGCCTAGGGAAGCTGTCAGCTCCCTGGGACCCAGGCCCATGCCTTGCCCCCACACAGCATGGACTCTGAAAGGAGCAGCCCATCCTTTCTGCAGGCCGAGAGCTTTCCCAGCTCCGAGTCTCTGTTCCCCTGCGGAGCTGTTCAAATATATCCCTGTCTCTGCAAGGTCCTCCCTGACGCCCTGTCTAATCAGCACCCACCCACCGCCCTCACCTGTCCCGTTTGTTCTCAGCACTCAGCCTCTGTGACCAGTTCACTGTCTCCCCATGTTCCAAGTCCTTCAAGGACAGGGGCTTTACTGGTTCTGTCCCTGGCTTGGAGTAAGTGTTCAATAAAACAGGAAGCCTGCCCAGGACAGTCCAGCTGGAGCCCCAGGCCGGCCAGAGCATGTGGCAGCCTCAGGCACCCACATCGCCTGAGAGGTTACACTTTCCATTCCATACCCATGTCAATCATAGGAGGGTGCCAGCCCCAGAGAGCCTCACTTAAACACCAGCTTAACTTCTCTCCTGTCTCCTCCTCTGATGGGGATCAGAGAACCTGACCAGCCAAGGGGAACGGGGCCATCAGAGCCCAGCCTTCTTGCCCAGGGAGAGCCCCCAGGCTATACCAAGCCAACTTGGCGTGTTTGGAAGGGCAGAGCTGGATGCTCCTTTCAGCAGCCCGGTATCAAGCATGAGGAGCGTGAAGAGGCAGAAGGAGGAGGAAAAGGAGGGTGGGATTCTCTCTTAAAGGTGGTGAGAGGACACAGACCCTCGGTGTCCTGGAGAGAGTGCTTCCCCTCACCTGGGGCCTTGGGGCAGGCTGGGCCAGAGTCATTAGAGAGGGGTCCCTCCTTCCTGGAGTGCTTGCCTGGCCCCTCCCTCCCACAGCACTGGCCCGGCCGGCTCTCTCAGTTTCAACATCAGCTATTTCTGGTCTGGCCTGTCACCCCATGGATGAAGCTGCCTCAGGCCTTTGCTGATCTGCCCGAGCTCCAGGAGGGCTGCTCAGAGCTGGCCCCACTGCCACCTTCTGCCCCACCCCAAAGGGAAGCAAAAAAGAGCCCCTTGCCTAAGTAGGGGAGTGTGTGTTAAACCTAATCACACAGACCTGTCCCCCCAGAGCCCCAAGAAGGGCAAAGAGCTTACAGGTGGGCAGAGTGGCCAGGAAGGACGATGCCACAGGCTGGCCCTAGATGGGAAGGCTTGCAGGGAGGGGGAGAATTGGACTGACTGGGTTGCTGGCTTTGGTGACACTGCAAAGGGGCACAGTGGGGCTAGGGTCTCCGGACAGTGGCAGGTTAGGGAACTCTTGCAAAAGCCCCTCCTCTTGATTGATGGCACCATCCTCTCTCCCCACTGCTGCCCACACCCACTCTGGAAGAATGCCCACCAGCTGTGGGGTCCACCTCGGCAAGGACAATGAAGTCAATGACGCGGGAGGTGAAGTCGAAGGCGGTCTGCTGGCTGCCGTGGATGACCGAGATGCAGTGGCGGTCCCCATAGCTGGCCCGTGGCATGCCACCCTGGAAGACGGTGAAGGGCAGCCTGGGGACACACGAGAGCGGTGTGGACCGGGGCTCCTGACACAGTTCCCGAGGTGGGCTGCCAGCACAGGCTTTTCTAGAGCCCAGAGGGCAGTGCCCAGGGCCCCACAGCCCAGCGTTGGGCCATTCTGTACAACCTTAAGACAAGCGCTCACTCAGAGTCCCCAGGATGGGTGGGGTTGGATCCCACCCATCTCTTCCAGGGCTGAGACTACCACAGCCCGGGAGACCTTGGGGTGGGTGTCCAGGCTGGGGGTCTGATTCTGTGCCACTCCTGCTTCAAACACAGCAGCCCCCTTATCCCAATACACTGGGGGGGGGGGCTCCCTGTGGTTTCATGTGAAGAAATGGGTCTGCTGATAAAAACAGCTGGAAACCTGCCAATCTAAACCTCTCAGAGGGTAGAGGGGAAGGAGGGGATTGGATCATGCAAGAATTTAGTCCTTGCGAGCTGCAGCAAGTTTGCCTCCTCTTCTGCCCAGGATCCAACACCTCCATGTAGGACCCAAAGCCGTGCACGAGGTGCCATCTCCCCCAAGCAGAGGCCCGGGAGGCCCTCCCAGCCTCCAGGAAGGCTCGGGCATGGGAGAGAACAGAGCACTGACACTTACCCCTTCCTGGTGGTCAGCCAGAAGAGTTTGGTAATAGCTTTGCAGGGAAAGGGACCTAAGAGAAAACAAACAAGCTTCAACAGGTCCTCCCAGGCTCGTAGACAACCTGGGGAAGAACCCCCACGCCCAGGTCCTGTAGTGGACCTCCGCACAGGACTCTAGCTCCAAGCGGTCTGGAGAAAGCCACGCTAGGCATCAGCACACTGCTGTGTGGCTGTGGACAAAGGTGTTACCCTTTCTGGGTCCCAGCCTTTGCTTCTGTGCTTTGGCCCCACACCTGAATCTAGGGAAGACCAACCAGACAGAGAGGCATTGCTCTGCATGCTGAAAGCGACCCTCAGGTGGTGGGCAGCACTGACCGTAAGGCATGCAGCTGGGCAGGGCCTCCAATTGCTGGGCGTCGCCGGACATGGGCCACTGGCAGTAGCTGCCATCGGAATGGCAGCTGACAATCAGATGGCCGTCACGTTGCCAGCACACGTTCTCTAATTGCTTCAGAGGAGAGACAGAGAGAGAGAGCAGGCATGGACTGGGGGTGGAGACTGCGCGTGTGATGTGTGGGTGCCCGGGGAGCAGCGTGGCCCCTGCCCCAGTCCCCGGCACCTCCTACCTGGCTGCTGAGGAAATGGGAGAGTACACGGCTGTCCCGCAGATCCCAGATGACGACAAGGCCCCGGCTGTAGCCAATCAGGATCTGGTTGGGGTCTCGGGGGTGCTCTTGCAAGGCTTCTACCAGCTCAAACACCCGCCGATGACGGGCCTCCTCTGGCAACCTGGGGAGGGGGGGGGGTGAGCTGTGAGCCCATGCTGGCCACTGACTGGGCAATGAGCAAGGGCACAACTGCAGGCTGGCACTCCAGGCAGCACGGATGCTGAGTGTGCCAGCACCAAAAGATCCTTAGGACACTGTCGGGGCAGAGGAACAGTGAGGAAAACAAGAAAGTGACATTTGTGATTATAAACCCCACAGGATGCAAGTGTAGGTGGCAAAAGAAAGGCAGAAAGGTCAACGTGCTATTTACCTCCGGGGCAGGGAGGGGGTCAGGACTAGGAAGAGTCTGGGGTCTCAAGGCGCTGGTAAAGTTCCATTGCTTTACCTGGTGTGGTGGTGGCTAAGGAGGACCTTACTTTACAAGAATTTGTTAAGCTGTATGTTTATATTTGGAGCTCTGGGGGCATAGTACCCAAGGCACTTGACTACTAAGCAGAAGGCTGGCAGTTCAAACCCACTAGCTGCTCCATGGAAGGAAGGAGGGGCAATCTACTTCCATAAAGTTTATTGCCTCGGAAACCCAAAGGGGGTCACTATGAGCTGAACTGACTTGATGGCAGTGAGCTTAGTTTGGTTTGGTTTATGTTTATATTTAGTGCATTTCTGTAAGTAAATGGTATTTCATAACAAAAAGTTTTAAAATTATGGTGAATATATATATATAAAACAAACTGCTTCAACAACAACAAAATTTAAACCTGAAAAGCAGAAATCTATGTCAGTTTGAACCTCAATGCTCTAAGTTCCACTCTGGGCCTGGAATGTGGAGGGAAAGGCTGGAAGTACAGCAGCCAACAGAAGACCATGAGGCAGCAGGCCCAGGACCAAGAGCCAACCCTAAAGACCCAAAAACCAAACCAAACTCACTGCCATTGAGTTGATCTCTACTCAGAGCGACCCCTTTGGGTTTCCGAGGTGGTAAATCTTTACAGAAGTAGACTGTCCCATCTTCTTTCTGTGGAGAGGCTGGTGAGTTTGAACCACTAACCTTCTGGTTAACAATCAACTAACTGCCTTAATCACGGTGCCACCAGAACACCTTAATACTAAACACATTAAGTAGAAGATGGAAACAGCCCCAAGGGCACCTGTAGACAAAGACTGATTCAACCCAAACCCCCTGTACCTACCTAAGTCCCCAGACCTGCCTGCCAGTAACTGGTCTTTCTAGGTGAGAACTGACAGGTGTCAACGGAACTTTAACCTTGTAAAATGAGGGTCATAGGTGGTGGTAGTAATAATGATCAGAGCCTGTCTGGCCTCAGGGGGGTTAATAAGTAATTCAAGATTAGCCCAAGGCTGATCTCTGTGAGGTAGGGATCAGATATACCCTGGAAAGGCCACAAAAAGGAACTCTGTTCACCAGGGACTTTATCTGTAAAGATTTTCATTTTTGAAAAAGGTTCTCTGTAATGCTGCTTATACCATTACAAAATAAAACTCTTTTAAATTAAAAGTAAACAAAGTGAGAATTGCACCATCTTGAAAAACAGAAAAGCATCTGGAACCTCATCAAAGAGGAGCTTGGGGACAGCAGTGATGGTGGCTGGCCCCCCACCCCACGTTCCTCGGCAACTGTGCACCTGCACGCCTACCTTCACTTATTTCCACAGAAATGGGAACTTTACCGTACATACCGCTATGTAACGTGCTTTTTTTCCCACCAAAATAGACCATGGCCATTTTCTCACATGTTTAAATATTCTCCATGACTGCAAACAATGCCTCTACAGAAATGACAACTGTTAGACAAGCAGAGGTTTCTGACTTTTTGCCATTGAAAACAGCCCTGTAATGATCAGTCCTAGGCCTGGATCTTTTATATGCATCCTTCCTTCTTTAGATGGACACATCCTCAGACAGAGTAGCTAGATTTTTGAAAACGTTCAGATAAATGTTGACAAAATGCAGCTGAAAGAATGTTGCCTGGCAATGGGGAAGGACCTCAGGTCCTTGCACCGGGAGAGCCCAGCTGGGTGGTCAAGTAGCAGGGGAAGGCCCCTACCAACCAGACTCCCATCAGCTACCAAAAGCTGGAGTCAGAGGTCTACCAGGTGTTGAGACCCAGCACAAACTAGATGCCCGTGCTAAGATCCAACTGTGCCTGCAAGCCGTCTGTGTCTGACTGTGGTCATACTGCCCTGACCCTGCCCTACTGGATGGGAAGGGCACAGAGGATTGTGCTCAAAGAGACCTAGCCCCTTACAGGAATCCTCCCAACCCAGCCAGGCCCTGCTGCATCACCACCTGGCTGCTAACGGATTGGATGGCTATGTGTATATGTGTGTGTGTATGTGTGTGCATGTGTACCAGTGTGCCCGCTCCACAGCCTTTGGAGGCAGGTCCGGCCTGGTGTCACCAACCCAGCACCCTGGGCTACTACTCCCTGTCCCCTGGTCCTGCAGAATCATCCACCACTACTCACCCGGCCCTACAAGCCCCTGCCAGACTCCTTTGTCTCCTCCCCTGCCCCCTCCACGCTCAGACCCTATCAGACTCCCCGTGAGCATCACCAACTATTTCAACAAGCCTACAGGATTGTGGTTAACAAGGCTTTTGGCCACTTAGACTGTGTGTGCATGGAAGCTCCACACGGAGCCCCAAACATAAAGCAGCCAGCAGTGAGCTGTCCCAGCTCACGTGGGGAGGTTTGAAAAACACAGTATTGGTGCAAAGAGCACAGACTAGGAGTTGGTGAAGCTTCACAGACAACTGTGAAGCTTGGTTTCCTCACTTTAAAATGAGGTGGCAAGTTGTCCCCAAGTGCACTGTCGGTGCCATGATGCCAACACATGACTGCATGACAGATTCTCAGATTGGGGGTCACATGTGGAGCCGAGACCCTCCTCCTACCATTAGACTTCCCAGGAGAAACATTAAGACCCCGAGAGCCGTTACTGGGCAACAAAGGGAGAGGCTGGACCTCCCTGGAGTGGATGGCCCCCAGGGCACAGGGCTTGGGCTCACCGCTGCAGCACGGCATCAGAGGTGATGGTCCTGTCCTCCAGCGCGCGGAAGGCCGGCAGCTGCACCACAAACACGTTGCCGCTCTCGGTGCCCAGGTAGAGCAGCTTGCGGGAGGAGTGTGGCAGGACCACAGTGATCTGTGTGGCACTGGGGGCGGCCCTGCAGGCAGGAATGGCTGCCCGTGAGCTTTCTGCTGCCCAGGCAGGGGGGAACCCCACATACAGGGTCCCCCGACTCCTGGCTCCCTCCCCTCCCCCAGGAAAGGCTATGCTTAGGAAAAACAGGTCCGAGAGGTCTGTTAGCAGGCAGGGCCCACAGGGTCTTGGGCCAGGACAAATATTGGCTACTCTCTGACAAGATAGGGCAGAGATGGCGGACAGCTTGGGCTAGGAGGCAGGAAAAATGCCCCATTCCGTGGGGACAGAGGGAGGGAGGCGGCGGCCCACCTGCTCCATCCAGGACACCCGAGGATGGAGCTGTGGTGGCTTAAACACACACCAGGCCCTACTGAGGCTGCAACAACTACAGCGACTAACAACAATCTCAGAAATCTGAGAGCTTCATGTGGGGACACTCCACCTTCCTTAGATTAACCGAACTTCAGTTAAACGGCTCCTTGCACTGATTGATTTGTATGTGGTAGTTCACTAGGAGTTTAATATGAATTATCTTTTTAATACTCAAAGCAAACCTATAAAGTTGATTTTTAAAACTGAAGATTAAGGGTAGTTATTTGCAGGTGCTTCAACAGGTGCAGAGCCGACAGGGGAGCCTAGAATGGTGTTTCTCCAAGGCTAAGGCCCTTCAGAGGGTAATTGCCACCCACCCTCCCCCCGCAGGGGTCAGGCTGGCTGGGAGAAGGAGGGGCCCTAGTGCTTACCCTGGGGGGCCACGCAGGGTGAAGCTCTCCTCCTCCTGCAGCTCCGACACCCCAACTTTGACCTTCAGGCTCCAGAGATGTAGGCTGTTGTCGTCCAACAGGGTGACCAGCTGGCACTAGGGAGAGAACAGGGCCGGGGACAGGGAGGGCCAGGTTCACAGTGGCCTCTACACACTGGGGGCCCAGCAAAGAGCACTAGGGACCAACAGCCCCCCGTTACTCTTAGGCCAGCCCGTGGAACCCAGCTGGGGAAGGGACAGTGGTCTCAGTCCTCCATCAGCACCAAACCCAGGGCCACCAATGCCTGCCTGTCCACACCATCCCTTCTGGAGGACATGAGGATGGGGAGGCACGGGGGAGGCCCCATCCCAGCCAGGCTCCTCACCTGACCCGGCAGGAAGTGGATCTGCACAACAGCATTGTTTTCACGGTGCAGCCCCATGAACTCCACCCCGGGGGCGCCATAGCTTGGAGCAGGCTCAGGAAAAGCTGGGGAAGGCCAGACACCATCCCCACCAGGCCCTAGAGTGTAGATGTCTGAGCCCACATGGCAGGGAAGGTCAGCACCCTGGCAGCAGAGGAGGCTGGTCCAGCCCCCAAGGCAGCTCCTGGAACAGTGAAGAGACAGCAGTGGCCCTGGCCCCAAGGGCTCTCTCTTGGCCTGACCTCTAAGGTACAGCCAGCTCTACCTCGAAGAGCTGTCCTGGCCAGGCAGGTGGGGTGGCTCTCTTGGAAAGGCAAAGCTTTAACTTGGCCCCACTATGTGCTGCAGGCCCCACCCCACCCCCACCCGAGCTGCAACAGACCCATCAGCTCACTTGTTGGCCCCGTAAGAAAACAGAAGGCATCCCCCGCCCACCCCTAGCAGCCACGGCCCATGGGGCTTGGCAACAGATTGGTAACCAGGATATGGCCACAGCCTGGCAATGATTAACCAGCAGAGGCCAGGCCAAGCTGGCAGCAGCAGTGGGGCTCCAGCCCTCCTGTCTGTACACCACCTGTGGCTGCCCTGAAGTCCCCTGTCCCCACTCCGCCTAAGCTACAGGAAAGAGGAACAGGAAGGAGGGACAGCTTTGCTGGAGGGGGTGCCAGTGGGCTCAGCAAGGATGACTGCCCTCTCAGTGCCCCAGCTTACATCCCGGGGGCTCAGGTCAGATGCAGGGTACATGAGAGTGTTCCAAGATGTCTAGTTCAGCCCAGCCCAGGCCAACCAGGGCCAAGGAGAAGTCCAAGAGGTAAAACCACCCCATGCCTCTAAGATGGTCTGAGCCCCCGTCAGCCCCAGAATTAGTCCTCTGGATAAAAGAAGACCCAACGAGACCCTGGTCCAGCTGCAGACCTGGGAAGGATTGTCCCTGCCAATCCATACACCAGGCCAGGTCATCTGTGCTGGTCCGGCCGAGAGCACTCTACTCTTGGAGGTGGGTGTGCACGTGTGTTTGGGGGCAGGGAATGTGGAAGAGCAGCTGCCTTCCCAAACCAGCACCCCGCCCCCCAACTCCCATCTCCAACCCCTGCCTCTAGGCACGGACACAGCTCCAGTCGCTCCCAGAACCCTTGTCAGGGAAAAAGGCAAAGAAATTTCTTGGCCACAATTGGCCTCCACTCCCAGCATTCAGGGCAGGCTCCTGAGGGGACATCTGGAATGTCCCCAGAGACAAGGGGTTCCTGCAGTTTGCTTTTTTGGTGGGAGGAAGAGCTGAGGGAGGTAGGGAAGCAGAGAAAGGTAGGCCCAGGGTTCCAGAAATGGCCTGGTGGGTACCCCTCAAGAGCCACCCCCACTGCAGCTGGAGTGAATGAAGATTCCTGCTTTCATCTCAACAGACTGCATGGGATAGGAGGCTGGTGTTCTTCCCCAACGCTCCCTGGTCGCGGGCCCCGTCCCCTGCAGGCCTCAAGGAAAGGATACAGCTTGATGGCTCCGGAGCGGGTGCCGATGGCCAGCACGCGCAGGGAGGGGCTGTAGCCAAGGGCACTGGGCTGGTGTGGGAAGCCATGCTCCACCGTCTGCAACAAGAGTCACGTGGTGGCGGCTCAGGCGCAGCCTCAGCACCGGCCCCTCCGGCCCCACCGCTGGCCGGGCCAGTGCCGGCACGGTGGAACCCACGGCCCAGAGCCGGCCCCGAGCAGACCTCTGGGGCAGCCACGCGGAAAGGAAGGAAGGAAGCAGTCACTTGCAGGGTCCTACCCCAGCACCTGTGAGGGTTGAAGCCAAACCCAGGCCCACCCAGGCCCCACCCTCCATCCACCCCAACCCTGTCCTCAGCTGCGTGGCCACTGCTGCAAGCTCCTTCTCTACTATAGCACCTCAGTCACTTGGTACTTTCCAGGAAAGCTGACTTGGTACCTTCATTATCATCCCGTGGGACTGACCCAGCCCTACTGCGTACTTGGGGGGTCTAGTAGATGTGGGCAGACAAGGGAAGTTTTGGGGACTGATATAGTGGAGGCATCTGGTCATTTGGGAAGCCAGGTTGCACTACCACTCCAGGCCCACCCCTGTGGCCTGACAGTTGCCTGCTCTGTACTCTCCAAGTTCTCGCCCGCCCTAAACGTCTGATCTAAGTGACGCTGGGTGTTCTTCTTCACCAACTTGTCAGAGGGGACATCTCTGCAGCGCCCTTTGCATGTCTGTAGGAAAGATGACAGCCTTGGAAACCCTACGGGGCAGTTCTCCTCTGTCCTGTAGTTGCTGAGTCGGGATCAACTCCATGGCACACAAAAAGTGTCATATATGTTTGCCCATCTCTTATTAGAGAATAATTTTCTATATTGAACATATAGAAAAGAAAAAGAAAACAAAAATGACCCACACTTCTACAGCCACGGGAAGGAACCCTGGTTAACATCCTGGTATCTGAATCCTCCCTATGCTTGTGAATATGTGCATGTGTGTGTCTGTGTTTAAGCGCTGTAAAACACATCTATCTAACAGCACGTACTTGAGATCATGCTACATGTACACACGGACGTGTTCAGGTGCACATATAAGTTTGTAGCCTTTTTCCCACTTAGGTCCAGCCCAGGTTCTGAAAAGCCCTAAGATGATTTTTAAGTGGCTGTAGAATACTCCCCAGAGAGGCCTCTGCTGTTGAATATTTACTTTGTTTCTAGCATCTTTGCAAATGGCGTGTTGACAACCATTTCTTGGCTCAAATCTTTACCTGCAACTTGGAGTATCACCTTAGGCAGAGGTGGAATTACAGGTTAAAAGGCATGAGTGTAAACACTACAGAAGTCCACAGACAAACCAGCCTTGGGAAGGAAAGTGTTTTGGTTTTGCTTCTTAACACCTGCCCCAGCCCCCACCGTGCCATCTCCAGAGGACAGTGAACTTGTACAGCCGGAGTGGAGCAGGGCAAAGTGAAGCCAATCAGCTGCTTCAAAGAACAATGGATGATTTTCACCACAGGGACTCTGCGATTGTACCTGCAGCAAAGGGTACACCACGAGGCGCCTCGTGGGCCCAGGGCCCTCCCCTTCAGCTGCATCACTGAGCTGCTGTCAGGTCTCAAAGTAGCAGAAAGAGATAAGGTCCTGGTGACAGCTGGCGCAATGGCTTAGCAAACTCAGCTGCTGACTGACACCCTGTCCAGTCCAGTCCCAGTGGGAGGAGGCCCCATGCAGGGGTCAGGCCAGGGAAGAGAATCCCAGTTGAGTGCTCATTCTGGGGAAACCAGGGGCCAGTGGGGTGTGGGGTCCCCATGGTCCTGCTCTTTGCCATGAACCTGGTGTGGCCTCCAAATGTCTGTACCTGGAGACACCAGGCCAGGCCAGGTCCCCGTTCAGTTATGTAAAAAATGCAGAGGCTGGATAAGCCCTGTGAGATAGGGGAGTATCTGGAATGCAAACACTTCCCGGGAAAGTGAGGGCAGGGGCGGGATGGGCCACGGGGCGACAAGCCCTTCTAGGAGGGCCGCTGGGCCTCAGCCTGCACTAGGGTGCCGGGGCCTCAGGCAGGGCTGCAGGAAGTGGTGGTGTCAAGAAATGCTCCCGGGACAGCAGCATTTCCCCACCAGCAGCAGCAGCAACAGCTCAGGGAAAAACCAAAAACTAGAAACCCACTGCTGGTGAGTTGTTTCTGACTCATAGAGACCCTACAGGATGAGTGGAACTGCCCCACAGGGTCTCCAAGGCTGTCAGTCTTTACGGAAGCAAAGCCCAAACCACACC